AAAATGGTCTTTTTATACATAATTTTTGATAATGAGAAGTTCGTCATACAGAAGCTCCACAGTATGCCTAAAGTAACAAAAAGTTCATCAAAGTTATATAAAAACAATGCAAACTCAATTGGTTTCCACTAATAAGATTTGACATTCTTGAGTTCAAATTCCGGTCCAATGCACCGAATTTCTAATAAGTTTGCTTCAAACTTTTTTTGGTTATTCTGCAAGAGTTATGACAAAATCAAATTTTAGTACAAAGTTAAGAAAAAATTTTTGATTTTAAATTTTTTGACATTTCTAAAATATTTGTTTAAAAAAATATTAGTTGAACCAAAAGTAGCGGGACGCTTTTCATTTATTTGTCAACTAAAAACTGTCTCGCTAGTTTTGGTTCAACCCAATATAACCAAGGATTTTTTAAAAGTTTTGACCCATAAGTAAGCAAGCATTGATGAGAAATTTTTTATGACAGTATACTATGTAACAAAATGAAAAATTACCGTTTTGTATGTAACAAAATGGCAAAGATCTCTCTTTTATTTATTTCACGTAATGTATGTACTTAAATGTATCTTAATAATACAGCAAAGTATTGTAATTTTCTTGATTAGTAGTAACTACATTTTTTTGAAAGCTAAATTGGTTTTTATACATTTTCAACATTGATAATAGGAAATTGTTAAAAGAATCAAATTAATGTTATCTTTTAAAAGACATGTACTGAATATGATCTAAATGTACTCTAGGGTACAAAGGAAACTTTTTAAAACTATTTATTGATGAGAGTGTGGTGAAGACCGTCAGAGCAATCCGTTGTAGCTGTTCCTGAGACTTTTAGTCAATATAAAAGAAGGATTACTCTATTTACTCCTGTAGCGCAACATATGTATGACGATTCTATGTACTATAACAAAAACTCTGTGTAACAAACTTTACTATACTCAAAAAGTCTGTATAAACAACTTTTAAATCCTCAGGCAACTTCACAAAGTGCATTCAAAACCCTTGTACAGCAAAAACCACGTATAAAAAACAAATTTTAAACCCTGGAGCAATTTGTTATAAAAGGATATAACTGTACATACAATTCTATAATAAAAACCTATGTTATTTACTGCAACAAAAATATATGTGGTTAAGATAAGATACTGGATTTTAACAAAAATATATGTCGTTGTACATCTTTCCATAAGGCTTACACACCAAAATATACTCTTAAAAAGTCAGTGTAATTTCAAATCCAGAAGCATTACACTCACCAAATATGAGCACCTACCAAGCCAAAGGATTAAAGCATAATGTTTTTGTGCATGACATGGTAAAAGACATCAACAGAAAACATAGTGAGACGATATACAGAACTTTTAAAAAAGATATACGTAAAGAAAGACAGCATAAGGTACAGTACTATGACAGCGTAAAACTAAAAATAGTACTATGAAGTGTATTGCAACAGTACAAAGCTTGTTATGACCGTTAACAACAAGTTAGAAAGTTAAAGTATGACCGTTATGTCGAAAAGGTAAGCAAGATACGACAACTATGTAAAGATGATAAGTAAGATATAACGACTATACCAATAAGATAAGTCATAGCATTAAAGAATGCAAAAATTTAAAAAAATCCAACATTTCTTTTAAAAATCTTGCAAGATATACGAAAGAAAGCAGTGTGAGATGTAATGAAGAAAGCGAAATCTCATGTTTATTCATTTGTGTCATCTCTGATTATAGCCAATAATGAAATACCAAAGAGCAGCTTCACATGGTGCTACGACCATTTCTTGCTTTCAACGCAAAACCAAGTGAAACTACGTTTCGGCCATTTCATATAACAATGAGTATGTTGTAGTAGGTATAGTATTAGTAGTCGAACATGCTTTTAGTGCTAATAGTCTGTAGTAATAATTTCAGTACTATAGTACCAAGAATAAAATAAAACTATGTATTAGTGCAAATAATAGTACTGTTTTTAAATACTGAATATGGCTGTTTATTATAGTATAAATAGTAGTACAAGTAGTAGTATTAATAGTACTTTTTACACAGTACTACTTAGTAATGGTAGTAACTGAAAATAGCAACACTATTTAGCTTGTAAGTACGCTTTGACTGTAGTAAAAATATCAGTAGTAGTACATATGCATAGTAATAAATATTGTACTAGATGTTCTCATTATAGTACTAAATCTACCATTTACCACTTTTTAAGTACTATAGTACTATATTACCTGTTTATGAATTCAACACAACAACCCTTCATATACAATACTAAAACAATAGAACGCCACTATAAACTCCAACACTGTAAATTCAAAGTGACATAAATTACCTTGACTACAATTAACTTACTCTTAGCCAATTGTATTCGATTATAAGTGCATTTTCTCTCAAAATTGCAAACAAATGACGTTTTAAATGTGATGTTTTAAAAAATTTAGTTTTTTATAATCTTGAAATTTGTCATTTTCTGTTAGCTACATTGTAACTAATGTCATAATCTTTTAAAATTATAAAATTCTTATCAAAACACTGACTGCTTTTTACAAAAATTTAATTTTTGGTACAATACAGTACGTCTATAGTACTATACAATAATTTTTCAGACATTTTAAGTCTGAAAAAGTATTGTATACCTTACATAATTTACCACGTACATCATGAAACAGTACTTTGCTTATCTTAAGTTGAATAGATCTAAAACTGTACTAATCATATTTAAAATGTCCTATAGTTATGTTGAAAACCAGTATTCAGATCCCATAAGTATGATATTTCTTTTAAAATATCTGATTTCTATTGTAAAATACGTTTTTTTACGTCAAAAGCTTACTATTTCTACCTCACAATGCACTATAAACCAAGAAAAAGGTAGAGGATGACCAAGAAGTAGCACGGATTAATAAACCCCTGCTTTTTCTTGTCCCCCAAAGTGAGAATGGCACCTGGCCATGAATGGAAGGCCAAACCAAAAGCGAGCACATTCTCGGCGCTAAGCAACCACAAAATCAACCGCCTAGAAACCGCGAACGTACCCCGGGAAACGCACCATGGTGAAAGCGATTATCTCGCGCAAATCTGAATCCCGACCAAGTTTCGCGTCTTTATGTATAATATATTTGAATACGAAAGGTGTACATGATGTGGAAGAGTATATGGAAAAATTTATTTAAAAAAATTTTTTTTTAATTTTTAAAATTTGAATGAAAATTTCAGTAGAAGTTCTGTAAAACAAATCGCAGCTATATTAATTTCAAAAAGTAGACTCCTGTTAAAATAAATAATAACAAGCAGGACTGAGGTTTGTCCTACTAAATTTTGATTTTATACTTACGCTTCCCTGGACCCACGTCAAAGTCATGCGACTTATAATAGTACCCTTTTCTACAGATAATTTATATATATACAAAACAACGTAAAAGTACATATGACACTATTGTAGATAATTATATAGTAAATATAGTAGTAAACTTGCAAAGATAAACGGAATACAATAGTAAGATGAATGAAGTTTTAGAAATAAGCCTATTTCAATTTTCATACTTAATGATACTTCTACTTTACTCTACCCTACCCTACCCTACCCTACCCTACCCTACCCTACCCTACCCTACCCTACCCTACCCTACCTTACCCTACCCTACCCTTACTGTTTGCTCAGTCCTAGTTTACTCCAGCTCAGCACTTGCCCTACACATCCCAGTATTTTCCCTACCTTCAACTCTTCTCTAATCTCTGTTTAAGCAGAGTAGGACAAGAGTTACAGAATTGTAGAGGGTAAGGGCTGAAGGTAGAACAAACTGGGTAGTAGAAAAACTTGGATTAGGTTGACGGTTGGGTAGGTGCCGGGCAGCATAGTGTAAGGCAAAGTAGGGTGAATTTAGTAGTTAGAAGAGAGGAAAAGGTAAGTCAGAATATTGCAAATTTTAAATATTATACTATAAGCATCACTAAACAATTTTTAATAAAAAACAATCTCAAAACCCCAAAATTTCACACAAAAACCTCACTTTTAAAATTGGAAAAAAGTTTGAAGCGAAAAAAGAGAATATTAATCGAAAACCAAATAAAACTGAGTCAAACGCGCTTGCGGGTATTGTAAGAGGATCGGTTTAACGCGTCAAATTTCGATTGGGAAAAGAGAAAAAGACCAATAAAACTTATACAATGCGCGACCTCAAGTTGCTCGCACAATAGAACCTCTTGAAAATAGTAGATAGATATTACCTATTTACTCACAAAGCTCGGGGGGTGGGGGGTGGCTATAAACTTTTGAACTTTTGGGTAGAGAGAATCAAGTGCAGATTGATTTACATTGAATTTACACTTGGTAATTGGAATATGATAGGGTGGTGAAGAACAAATAATGACTTACGAAAAACAAGGTATCATATTGAAGGGCAAATAGGCTAAGGCTAAGGCTTAGGCTAAGGCTAAACTTAATCTAAAGTTACCATTACGACAGTATAATACATTTAGAGTTGCATTAAAACCAGTCCTTAAATATGTAAAACAAATCGTTGATAAGCGCTATCAACTCGAGTTTGACTCACTTCTCTTATTCCTCGCCTACTCTTGAGGAAACAACGTATAGGTTTTCACCAAAACAATTTCAAGATAGCCTTTCGTTTCCCACGGACTTGAAACATGTAGTAGTATGTCTTAAGGAAAAGAATGGCAGAAACTTTGTAGACAACATAGTTTACATACAAAAGGCGTGAGCCGTTGTATTACCTGACAATGTAGAGTAGAGCAGGGTAGAGTAGGTTAGAGTAAGAGAAGTTATAATAGATTAAGGTTGCAAGGCAAGGCAAGGCAAGGCAAGGCAAGGCAAGGCAAGGCAAGGCAAGGCAAGGCAAGGCAAGGCAAGGCAAGGCAAGGCAAGGCAAGGCAAGGCAAGGCAAGGCAAGTTTTAAAAAAATTAAATCAAAATAGCAATATCTTTATTATAATGCCTATACACCTTTATCTGACATATTATAACGTCTCATTATCCTTCCAAGTTTTTTAGAAGTCCTCTTGTTGTTTACGGTAATGATGACGATGACGGTGGTGACGATGATGTCTGTGAAGTTCAGATTCCCCATTTCTAGCCTTATTTGGCCTTTTGAATTGTTGTTTTGGTCTTTCGTTGGCTTCGCTGATCCACTTGCTGATGTGTTGTTTCTCAATCAGTCGAGCTTGTTTCACTGATTCAGTGTCATCGGGATGAGCACCACGAAGATCGTAATGATGGGCTCCGTCTTCGATGATTAGACTTACCTAAAATTTTAGATTTATAAAAGTAATTTCTAATTATGTAGGTATGGGCTGTTGTATAAGGGCATTTAGCCTTTTATGAGAGCAGGAGAAGAGGGGGGGAAGGGAGAGAGATAAAAGTTTTTTTGACATAACCGAACCTTTTTTATTTTTGTTTCTACTTAAGAAAAGAGACCCGTCCAACTAAAATTTTTTAAAACTATAATAAACTACTCTCCCCACCCCAAAAACTCTCTTTCACAGCCCCAACCTAACATACCAAGCTGCCTTCAGTAGCCGGCTCCTGTTTCCATCCTCCAGCACTCCACGGGTCCAAATACCCGTTACTAAACACAATATTAGTAGCAGTCGGGAAGGCAGCTCCATAGTTCTCGATGATCCAGTTTGGTCGATAAAGATTGTGCTCAAACCCAAGCCCAGTATATTGTTTATGACAGCGTTCAAAGTCGGCTGTCAATATGAATGGACAAGTCGGCTCAAACACGTCGTTTGGCATACCAGCAGAACATATTGGCATGATCATTTCGGTACAAGCCTGCCAATTCCATCCGTCCATGGCTCCAATCTCGTCGCTAGAACAGTCTGGACCACGAACACAGAATTCAGTCAGCTTGCCTGAGGTGTTGAAGAAAATGTTCAGGATGTTGTATAGAGGTTCGACACGCTCTTTTAGGTCTGATGGAATGTCTCCTTTGAAGCCTTCACACATCTTCTGAAAAGCTTTTTTTTAATTTTGAAAAAGTTTTAATTAATTTATTTTGAAACTTCAAAAATTAAAATATTTTTTTTTTGAAAATTAAATTTTAATTTAAAAAAAAAACTTTTTTTGTAATTTTTATTTTATTTTTAAGCAGAACAAAAATTTTCACAAAAAACACGTTCCATCGTATAAATTGACCTCGCAGCCTGCGCTTTCGATGTATATTGTTTTCGACGACAAAATGTTTGATAATAAAGTTAGATAATGTAAAAGTAAACTATATTTGACATATTAAGCTAGTTTTTTAAAACTATCATTTTAAAAAGCATTTTTCATCGTATAACTTGGCTCCGCAGTTTGCAGCTCACACATGACATAGTCAAAAAAGTTGTAAGACAAAAGTCAAAGTAAAGATAATAAAAATATCATTCTAAAGCTTTATAATTACCTATTTTTCTTTTAAAATAAATGCCTCACCTTAACAGGCCATGCAGGAACTTCAGCAAAGAAGTGAGTTGGGTATGGGTAGTCGATCATGACGACATTGCCCATAACATCGGAGAAAACGTCCATTATAGCATGGTAATCATGAGAATGTTCAAAGTCTGATGATTTTCCCAATCTTAGGACTTTGTTCAAGTGAGCGCGGCCTTCGTCTACAACAATATTATTATAGTTTTTTATTTTTAAAATTTTGAAATAAAAAAAATTACTTTAAACGATCTCAAATGCCTAAAATAAGCCTAAGTTGTTGATGTAGCCCTTTATAACGATACTATAACAATAATACAGAAAATCTTACCAGATTTAGCCAACTCCTTCATAGCATCGAAAGAAGCCTTGAGGTGGTCCAAGTCACATCCACTTAGCTTGAACGTTCTTGTAGTGACATTGGCATACCCTTCTTGTCTTACACCAGTGTTATGGAACCAGAAAACTGGTGCACTGCCAGCAATGGCACCATCACAAAGATGTGGATACTTGACTCTGAACCACGCCGACAACATACCACCATAAGAACCGCCGAATACGATTACTGGCGAGTGAGTGGCACCGTCAATGCGCTAGAATATTGTAAAATACGGCAAGTGTTGATATAGTAAGATAGAACAAGTAAAGCAACAGTAAGCATAGGAAAACTATGGTATCCCATCTTACCTTAGTCTTCAAATGAGTGATAACATCAGCGAAATCGGCCAAAGCTTGTTCAGACGTCAGATATCCCAAGTTCTTGATGTGTTTGAAAGACTCATCACCAAATGGCTTAGAGTTACCATAGAATCTGTGCTCAGCAAATACGACAGCAGCTCCGTATTCTGGCGCAATGTCCCACATGAAGCCCTAAAACAATATATACAAATTTGTTCTAGAGTTATACGTGTTACAGTAGTAGTACAAAACAGCATAAAACTTTAAAAACTAATATTGAAGCTTTAATTTTAGTTTACTATAACATAACTTATAACCCTTTAACGTAAATATAGTAGATTTTAAATTTCGTCTTAATACCATATCAAAAACTTACAGTATTCTGAGCAAAAACTTCCAGTTTGCCTTCATTGCCAGTATAAAAGAAGATCGGTCCACCAGGTTGATAATGAGTAAGATTGATAAAGTACCTCAACTCAAACTCTCTCGTATCAGCGAACGAGAAATGGTCAACAGGCACGTCCAATCGTTCCTCAGCCCACGAATACTTGTCCTCTCCATTAATGGCGTTCTGGTCGATTAAAGTCAACGGATCTCTCAAAAGCCCCGAGGGCCTGAAGCCAATGACCAACGGCAGGAAGAACACCAAACCGACCTTGAGCATCGCAAAAGACTGGTCTGAGTTCGGGGCTGGGAACGGCGATCGATTCGAATTCGTAGATAAGAAAGGAAATGTTTGTCAATTCGGCCTTTCAACTTTTCGAATTTTATCATTTTCGCTGTAAATAAATAACAGAAGTGCACTGGACTGGAATATTAAACTTGTCACAAGACAATGATAGAAATCCTGAGCAAATGCTTTATCTTCTTTTAAAATTTTAGACATAAAATCCAGAAGTTTCTTAAACTTGAGTTTTAAAATTTTAGGTAACAAATTAAGGTCGATAGAGAAAAAACAGTCTATGGTAAACACAGTTTCTCCTAGACTAAAACTAGTCTATAAAGCTGTAAAAAATGAGTTAAACCACGTGGTTCTTGATGTTGTTTTGACGGTTAATCAACAGAGAAGACTAAACATTGAAATTCCTTTGCTAAAATTTCAAAAAAAAATTTTACAAAGAAAATACCCAACCTGCTCTGATCAGAAGCAGCTCAAAATCCTTATACATATAAGTTTTTGGTAGCACTAATAGTACTCATAAAAAATTTTAGCGTGCGCTTTTGAGTTTTAAATTAAAATACTTGGATTTTTCGGCAATTCAACAGATTTTGGCATTGTGTTTCAGTTTTTCCACTTTGCAAGTACAAGTTACGTCCACAAATTAAAAAATTTAGGTTTATTTAAGGCTTTCTACTAGTATATCAAAGAAAACTAAGAAACTGCCTATATGCTGATTTAGCGAAAAATTCAATTTTGTTATAGAGAGCAGTGGTCGTTTCAAATGGCAGATAATAGCGATCAAGGAGAAAGAACTGATATTACTCGGAAACAGCCTAAGAAGAAGTCGACCATCTTGTACAAGGTCAGAGGAAAGATGGAATGGAGAGTCGAGCAAACTGGTCTTACGAAGGAGTTTCAAGCTTCGATCAGCTGTTATTAGTGGTACCAGAAGGAGATTGGCAAGTTTTTAGATTGTCTGGTAGGTATTAATGAAAACATTTTGCAGCCTTTTAACTCAATTTTAATATTACCCATGACCGTTTGTAAAAAAGTATTTAAAAAAGCCTAAAGGCCTAAAACAAATAACAAAACTGAATTTAAAAAATTTATTAATACACAAGGAATTGTTTATCACACAAAGCAAGAGACAAGATGATCGTATGTCATAGAAATGCCCAAATAGTCTGTCCGAGGTACCAAGTCCTACTTCTTTTCCACCCATTTCTCTGGAGGTTCTAAGGCAATGTTCAAATCTTTCAGACCATTTATCAACATATTACTAATCTGAGAGTGAAAGAAGTATTGTTGGCGCATGAACTGAAAGTAAAATCATAAGCCAGCACTATGCATATACAGCACTTTATTATGCATGTCTAGGTATTAGCTGCCGACATAAAAAATCGCCATACATTGCTTGTAATTTCATGTAAGAACGGCGGGTTCTTTATGTTGGCAGCTAATACATAGTAATATACTACAACCTTTGCCAACAAAACAAAGGTTTTAGCCTTATCTAAGAGGTATAAGCACTATATTTGCCACAAACTATAGAAAAAAGGTAAACTTACTGCGTAGACTGCCTTCTGATGACTCTGAACATCAACACTGAGACTATCACAAGCTTTGGCTATTTTCTCGGCGATCTGGTTGAACATATTTACCGACTCTTCGTAGTCTCGGCCCAAATTATCTAACTCTTCTCTGGTCTTGGCCTTTTTCAACTAAAAATTTTAAAATATTTTCTAATACTTATAGTAGTTTAGTAAAACAATCAAAAAATCAGGTACAAGATTATCTAAAAAAAATTTTTTTTTAGTTTTAAATCTAAATTTAAAAAAAAATTTTATTTTAAAAAATCAAAATTTAAAAAAATTTTTAATAAAGCTGATAAACCATTACCTTGGTACGTGCTTCATCCATATAGTCACGTTGATCCATCAAGTTCTTAAAGTTTTCCTGGAACGCCTCGTTCTCGGCGGTTGCGAACGTCCGCAGCTTGTTGATGACAGCTCCAGTGTTCATTTGAGCGTAGCGTCTTGTTTCGGACATTCCTTTGAACAATGACTCAACTTTTTCCATTGTGGCCTAAAAACATTCATATTATTAGTCTAAAGGCCTAATTTAGCCTAAGGCTTGTATAAGGCTAAGGGACACCGATTTTACTGAACTGACTGGACTAAATTTGCTATTGAACTCACTTGTCTGTTCTCAGGAACGGTGGGATGCCAGTGCCGTACACCAACAGCCATCCTGCGCAAACTGTCGTCCTCGGACTTAATATCGATGCAATCACGAAGACTTGGATTCATCTGCAGCACACCTACAACAATCTTACTATACCTACAATTCCACGTCATTCTTAACTTTATGCACCCCCATAATTAACATCTTCTCACAAAAGACCATGAATAACATCAATATCAACCTAAAATCTCCATTCTTACCTTCCAGACAATCCAGAAACTTGCCGATCTGCTTCTGGTACGACTCATACCGGTTGATCGAAGCTTGGAACTCCTTGGTAAGACCAGTCTGCTCGACTCCCCATCCCATTTTGCCTCTGACCTTGTACAAGATGGTCGACTTCTTCTTAGGCTGTTTCCGGGTAACATCAGACTTATCTGTTTGATCGCTGGTATCTGTCATTTTAAACCACCACTGCTTGATCACAAAACAAAAAAGTAAAAAATTTATAAAATGACTTATAACTAAAACTTAAAAAATTTTATGTCAAACTTAAAATTTGCATAAAATGAGAAATTTTTCAAAAAGATGTTAACTTTATTGATTTACTTGGTGATATAGGCTAGTTATAAAAAAATTAAAAGTTAAAAATCAAAAAAACTATTAAATATATATAAAACAATGCGTTATATATTGCATCTAAAATGTTTCACTTCGTCTTTTGGTACCACACCGTCAGCGTTCTTCATACTATTATATCGTACCTGCAAAAAATTTTTAAAATTTATTGGCTTTAATATCAAAATATACTGGCAACAAATGAATGTATTTTACCATAGTTTTATATATTATGTGTAATATTTAAAATATGAAAAATTTTTATTCTTCAAAATTTTTCAATAAAAAATTTTAAAATTTTCTTTTTTTCTTAAGAGAAGTACCCAACCTGCGCCAATCAAAGTCAGCTCAAAATTTTTTATATGAATTCTTTATACCACTAATAATACTCACAAAAAATTTTAGCTCTTTTTTGAATTTTAAATTTTAACTATTTGAATTGTCAGCCAATTTCGCAATTGGCATTGTGTTCTAAGTACTTTTTCCGACTTCCCGACAAGCTACGCTTACACATTTAAAAATGTAAGTGCATCTAAAGTTTTCTACTAGTATCTTAAAGAAAAATAATTAAAAGTCAAAAAATGGCAAATATAAGCTTTGAAACACAATGCCAATTTGACGGGAAATCCAAAACTTAATTTTTTTTTTCAATTTTCTAGAAATTTTCTGAAAAGCGTGACTTAGTACTTTGCTGAAGGTATCATATATATATACAAAGTTTAAAGCAAATCAGAGCAGAGCAGCTATGTTAACATAGACTTAAAATAGGACGGCTCGGGCATTTTCCTTATAAAGATAATTTCGGTAATTGTTAAAATTATTTAACAAAAACATTTAAAATGATTTACCATAGCCATATTTTTGTAAAATACGTCATTCACTACCGGTTTCTTCTCAACATACGTCCTGTTGAACAGTAACTCCAGCCAACATACAATGCCATTGAAGTCACCCATCATCATCTTGTTAGCATATAAACTGTTTTGACCATTCAAATTTGGCACCAAGTCTTCTATACCATACAAACAGATCTGATGCCGCCACGTTTTACTTCGACAATGCTTACTGCCTTCCCATATACTTTGGCGAGTGACATAATCAGCTTTTTGGATACAATTTTGAGTAAAATAGTTTGGTATATCTAGTACTTCCATAGATAATAGCGTGGCATATAACATCTCGTCTACTCCGTATGTTGCTCTGTCGTCTAGCTGATTGATAAGAGTTGATAGATCCATCTCATTCAGTAGGTAATCCATCGTTCTTCGACTTATTGTTGCTTGAAATAGACCTTTCACCCAGGATAAGGATACATTAGCTAGACGGGATTGTTTTGCTTCTAAAAACGATATTTTTTAAAATGATTTGAAATTTTCAAGAAAAGTGCTTGAAATGTGCCGCTCTGAACTTTTTACATAGAAATATCATGTTAATACAGGTTTGTAACAGAGCTTGTGGCGCACCCTGTATAAGATCTTTAGCAAAGTACTAAATTGCGTTTTCTAGTCAACTTCAAGAAATTCTAGATCAAAAAATTACGTTTTGAATTTCCCGCTAAATTGGCATTGTGTTTCAATATTATAACTTTGAAATTTTTTGACTTTTAATAATTTTTCTTTAATCTACTAGTAGAAAGCCTATAAATGAACTTACGTTTTTAAATTTGTAAGCGCAGCTTGTCAGGAAAATCGACAAAAAGCGCTTGAAACACAATGCCAACTATGTCAAATTGGCGACAAACTCAGATATTTAAAATTTATAATTTAAAAGCGCATGCTAAAATTTTTTATAAGTATTATTAGTGGTACGAAGAATCTATAAAAATCATTTAAAAATTTTGAGCGGATACTGAGCGTGACAGGGTATTTTCCCTATAAGCTGAAAAGTAAAAGAAGGTATTATAGCAAAGCAATCTATTTTTAGTTTCTAATGTTACCTAGGATTTGATTATTAAAACTTACTGTCTTTGAATAACTTAAGATGGCCTACAGTCCAGTCCAACTTTTCGTTTATTCTTTTCATCGATGGTAAGATAAGAACGTCATTTGAGCCATTTAAAAGTTTTTGAATTTTTACCATTTCTAGGTTCGTCTTCATAGGGAAGTCGTGATTCTGAATATAAATTACATCCTCTTTTTTTAAAAGAAATTTAAATTTAAAATTGTTAGAGGTTCGTTATACAGAACTTCTACTGTAGTACATACCTGTAAAATCGAGACATATTTCCATTCCTTCCTCTTATTATTCAACCAACCAAAACAATTCTGAGTAGCCAAATGTTGAAGATGTCCTTCTCCATCTAAATCACGTTCAATATTCATAACGTGAACGTTGTCAAAACAATTAGCCAACGATCTTAACTGAGTTTTAAACAAAATATCCGAAGATTGATCTATAGAGTAACAATAGTAATTTTGAGGTTGATATGTAGCTGCTAGGATAAGTTCTAGGAAATAATAATTACGGTAGACTGTACGCGTTACAGCTATTGGAAAGTTAGCTTCTTCTTGAGAGTTTGGGGTAGATGGGAAGTAGGTTCTGTCTCTAAAAGTATAGGTTTTGTATTATCATCCCTAACCTACACAGAATCTATGCTGGCCCTACCTTGACCCTACGCAGACCCTCTCCAGACCTTACCAGACCCTTTCCAGACACTATCTAGATTCTACCCAGACTCTGCCCAGACCCTACCCAGACACTATGTAGACCCTACCCAGACCTTACAGACCCTATTTTATCTTATTGTAATTTATCGTAACTTACTCTATGTTACTTATCTTACTGTAACTTAACGTAACTTATTTTGCTCTACCCTATCTTATTGTAACTAAACGTATATTACTGTAACTTAGCGTTATTTACCTTATCTTATGGTAACTTACTTTATTTCGCCATAACTTTTTCTATATTACCCTATCTTACTGGGACTTACTTTATCGCAAACTTACTTTATAGAAGCGCAATCCATCTTCAAGTCTTTGAAGTTATTGTTGTTGTATTTCAATCTATTCTGAGTCAAATTGTAGAGATACGATGCGTGTTTACCATCAAAAACCCAATCACATCGTAGGTTTTCTGTACCTTTTGGCTTCTTAAAAAATGGCTTTACATGTGATATCTTACTTGTGTGTTTTGTCGTGTATACAGTCGTAAAATGCCTATTACCGTTGTCTTCTCTAACTCCATTTTCAACGTTTTTCTTTTCTTCCTTTAGTGGTTTCTCTTCTTTAACTTTTCTTTCTTCTTTGTCTTCTTCCACTATCTCTTCCTTATGTTTCGCTTTTTCTTCTTTAATAATCTCAGCCACAGTACCAACTAACTGCTTTTTCTTGTAGTTATTGTAGCTATCATTGTGTCTGTAGACCATATAAACAAATACCAATACTACCACAAGCAATATAGTTCTACATTGCCAGCTAATGTTTTCCGATGTAGACATGTTAGTATTGCTAACATTTGGCTTTTCATTTTAGCCATTTGGTAAAGTGTGGAAGTATTGAATATAATATTACACACGGCTGTTCCTCATTAACTTTTTGGAAATTAATACAAGAGAAATTGAGATATTATTGCAAATACTAAGTTTACAAGATGTGTGGAAAAAAATATGAAAGATGTCCACAAGATATTAAAGTTTATTTAACCTTATTTTTTATGATAATATATATTATTATTAGTTTTAAATATTAAAACAATACACGTAAAAGCTATATAATCGAAATAATCAAAAATAACATAAAGAATTAATTACTCAATAGTTGCTAGCTAAGACTCTCAATGGCTCTCTTCTTCAAAAATTAGTTATACTATAATAGTTAAGGCTCTCAAGATCAAGTCAGTTTAAAATAAGATGAATATGGTTACACATTGCATTTGAAGTGTCGCAGAACTTCCGTTGGTACTTCACCGTGCTCATTCTTCAAGTTTTGATACCTGACCTGAAATCTTAGGAAGTATAAGTTATAAATTATAAGTTACAATAAAAAAACACGGAGAATAAGCTAAAATAAAGGATTTTAAATAATTTAACCGCAACTTAGAGAAAACGACCGGTAAAGTATTGTAACAGAACTTTTTGCGCGCCCGGTATAGTTGTACAGTAAAATCTCTTTAGTATGTCTTTTACTTTTACAGCTTTAAAAATGATTTTACAATCAAACCTCTTTAGTATGACACTCAAGGGCCTAGTTGAAATCTTTCCTTATAACCAGAGTGTCACACTATTCAATTAATTTTAAATTAGAGTGCTTATACAAAGAGCGGTCAGAAAGTTGTCATTATAAAGAAGATGCTATCTTTTTTTTAATATAAAAACCTAGCTAAACATATCAATGTTGTCTTCTATTTTACTCCTACGTATTCTATGCAAAAGCTTATAAACTCGGGAATGGTTTGTTTCAAAACTTTTGCGTTGCAGTATACTGTACAAACCCATAAAACTTACAAAAGCCTGATTTTGATAAAATATTGTGTCCAGCTTTGTCTCTTTCCAAATATGTGTCCTATTGTGTAGAGTCTCCAGCCAACATACGATGGAATTGAAATCAACATCAGGCATAAACTTATTAGCATAAAGTTGGAACTTGTGATTATTCAAATTAGGTACCAAATCCTCAACTCCGAACATACACAAAGCATGTCTGAAGATTTTACTACGACAGTCTGGATCCCACGACCAAGCTGAATGTCTTGTCACAAAGTTCGGGGGTTCTTTTATGCACTTTTGGGTGAAATGACCAGGTATTTGCAAGGTTTCCATTGAAAGTAAAGTGTTGTACATTATCTCATCTACTCCGTAGGTTTTACCGTCGTCTATCATTGATATCAGTTTGGTGAGATTCATCTCGTTCATCATGTAATCCATGGCTGCTCGGCTTATTGACATTTCGTTAACGCCTTTGGCCCAAGATATTGTTGTACTTGCTAAGCGGGCTTGTTTTTCTTCTAAAAATTTGAATTTTGTAAAGAAATAATGTTGATTTAGGCATAATATATAGACTCTTAATCTGAAAAAAATCAACTTTTTATTCTTTCTACCTCGCCCCACCCTAAAACTTTTTTTTTGAAAAAAGTTGAACCTGATCCTCTCGTTAAATTAAAAAATTTTTTACCCCCCCCCCTCTCCTCAAGCTATGTAAACAAAAATTATTTGTAAAACTTTGTTGTACAGCTACTCAACGTTACGTACTATCCAAAAACAGTTCAAGATTCCCGATAGTCCAATTCAGCTTTTTGTTGATTCTGCCTGGCTCTGGTGTGACTAAAACATCATTTGATTCATTGAAGATCTTGAAAACTCGAACCATTTCTAGATTTGTCTTCATTGGAAAATCATGATTCTGAAAGGATTTATTTTTAAATATAGTAAAGTTAAACTTCTGTGTAAGTCTCAATTTTAAAGAATCCAAGGAATGTCGACACATGTCGCAAGGTCGGAGCCTACACCAAGACATTGTCGCTTTAGAATTGTAGCTATAAAAAGTTTTGGCTTTAAAAGAGTTTGTTATATTGAATCGAACCAAAAGAACCGAGACACTTTTCAGTTGAAAAACAAGTGAAAAGTGCCTCGCTACTTTTGGTTCACCTAACACAAGAGCTCAAGGTATACTATTAAGACTTTCTTTTATGTTTAAAAAACTTTTTTTTCAGCTAATCAAATATTAATAACAAGAAAGATAAATAAACTTTTAAAATTGATGTAAAGCCAATTTATAATTGAAGTTGTAGTGTAATGTAATGTAAGAAACATAAATTACGGTGACACTTCTGCATAACAAACTCCCCTGTAACGAAAATAATGTATAACAAACAACTTTTGAATCTTCGAGTGACTTGTTATACAGAAGTTTCACTGTATAAGCACTTCAAATCAAATATTTAAATTGAAATTTCATTGTAAAATACGAACTATGGTAACCTCTTTTTAAATTTTATTTTTATTTCATTTAAAAAACCTCACCTGTAAAATCGTGACATATCTCCACCTCTTTTCCTTGTCATTCAGCCACGCCAAGCAATCTCGATGTGCTGCATATTGCCAATGTCCTCCCCCATCCAAGGGCTGTTCAACTAAAGGTACATGGACATTGTCAAAGCAATCAGCCAGTTGTCTCAAGTTTCTTTTGAATTCTGGAGCTGAAGAGTTATCCATGGCAAAACAGTAAAAGTTTTGAGGCTGATACGAAGCTGATAACATCAGTTCTAGCAGGTAATAATCTTGATATACACTTCGTACTACTGCTATTGGAAAATCGGCTTCTTCTTTTGATGTTGGGGTGCTTGGGAAGTAGGTGCGGTAACTGTAACGAAAGAATAAGATTTGTTATAGTTAATATTACTGTACATATAGGTAAACTATAATACTTGTATAATACTATATATACAACATATATAAGTTAAAAGAACCATTTAATCCTAATATAAGATAGATAACACTACAATAACCACAAATCCTCACTTAACAGCGTCACAGCTCATCTCAAGGTACCTTGACTTTACATTGTCATAGTATCGGTACCTATTCCGGGTGAGATTTTCCAAATATTGTGGATGTTTACCATCGTATATCCAATCACATCGTAGATTTGCGGCACCTTCAGGTTTTCGAAAGACCGGTGGCTTATCATAAACATTAAAGTAGACTTCTTTTAGGTAATCATTAACACTTTTCGAGTCTACCTTAATATATTCATGAAGTGTATAGACAGATACGGTAAGTAGTATTAATCCAAATGTCAGTTTTAGATTGTTCAGTAGTAATTTACACATTTCTAAAGGTTATTAAGCTTGAATTTTAAAATAAAAATAGGTTTTTAGGCTAGAATAGTACCTAAAGTACTATATTATAGTAAAGTAAAGTAAAAAATCTAAGTTTACTGAAGCTATGACAATATTACAATAGGTAGCGAGTCATATATTTAACAATAGTTAGTACGTGATATATGTTAAACTAAGCATCAAGTGCTATACCACCTCAAAAACCGTAGTAAAGTCCCGTATATACCGTAAAATAAAGGTATACTTGGCCAATATTTAACTAAAGCTGGTCAGTCTTGTAACTGTTGTTGAAAACAAATCCAAAAAGCTTTATATACATAGAAATTAGGATGTAGAAAGATCGTTTGTAGGCGTGTTTGCACATATGCACAACCAAAAAAAATTGACAAGGAAAAGAGCAAAGGAAGTTTTTTAAATTGTCTTTCCTTTTACGTGATTTTTCGATCCGACAAAGAGCAATGTAGATTTAGAGGTTGTACTAGAATCCTTGACAAAAGTTTTACTAGAATTTATACATTTTATTCGCTTTGTAGCGGGGATTTGTCTTATACAAAGCGAAACCAGAACTGGAGCCACGAAATGTAAAATTTTAGTACTAAACACTACCAGAGTAGGCAAAGCTCTGGAGCCAACGCTAAAATTAAACAAAACGCAATTGTAAAGTGCACGATGAAATCTTAATTGTTTTAAAATTTGCATAAAATAGCCAATACTTTATGAATGCAAAAAATTTTCTTTGTAGGTATCCCCATCTCCGGGAACGAAGACTTTACATTTGAGCAGTATAAGTCGAAATTAAAAAATATTTTGTTTTATGTATACTCAAAAATGAATTTAAAATTTTTAAAATTTTGCAAATTTCTTAAGACACTCTGTATTTCTTATAATATCTTGTTAAACACGTTTTTCAACTTTACTTTGTTTTCATCGAATTTTTAACAATTTCTTCAATTTTATTTAACAAATTGATGAACGAAAAACTGCCTAAAACTTTGAATACAATGTAAAATACGTTTCATATAATTACTCATGGTTTGACTTGTATCTTTTTTTATTTTTTAAATATATTATATATTTATTCCAATCTTAATTGTATTTATAGCTTTTACATAGCTTTCCATCTATTTTTACATTGTTACCTTTGGCAACAACCACCTTTCACGCCATTATTCTTCACCGTCCATTTGTTTTATTAAAGTCAGAAAAACAAAAAAAGCCCTAAATAAAAAAATAACAACAAAAGCATAACGTGCCAACCTATTGGCACGTCTACATTAACTGAACATTAACGTACGTTCTTGGCTGTTCATAAGGCGTTTATGCAAATGAACTTAATGGCTTTTATTGAGGTTTTCTTCAGTAAAAGTCATTATGTTCATAACCGTGAGAGTAACTTTAAGATTTTAAAAAAATTTTTGTTAATTTGTGCTTTTTTATTATATAGTTTATATGTTATAGTAGCTCGCGATATAAACAACTTAAACGTTTAATTTAATTCTTTAGTCTTCAAATATGAATATTAAGTTTATTCCTTATTTTTACTTTAAGTTGCGACCAATTTTACTGCTCGCTTAATGCATTGCCTAAGGGGTTTTATTTATTCAATATTAATACCTGGGAACGCGGCGCCGCTCCATGCTTAGTCAGTGGTTGTTTTTAATGGCTTTTAAGGCGAGAAGTCAGGATTTTTAGGTATTAAAGTTGCTATAAAGTTTTTTTTCAAGGCTTGACGCAATTTTTGTAAACCGCAGAGTTGGCATGGTATTTTTTATAGTACTAAACTCAATTTTCTCAAAAAAAATTATCAATTAAGAGCTTTTTTTAAAATTTTAAGGCTTAAAAGATGGGCTGGGCAAGAGGTTTTGGTATAAGGGCGAAAATTTAAAAAAGTTGGCTTAGCCGTGCCATTATTTTCTAGAAAATTAACAGGGGGTGGGAGAGGAGACCTCGTTCAACTTAAAAAAAAACCTTTTTTGTAGAGTTATCTGCCCTACCACGCCGTACCCTAGTTCCCTACCATAACTGCTCATACTCTGCTATACAGTATCCAGCTTTACCATATTATACCCTAATACACCTTGCTTTATCTTACCTTACTTTACCCACTCTGATTACAACAAACTTTTCCAAAAAACCTTGAACTCCACTCTTTACCTGCACCCAGACGACCTTTTCGGGCAGCGGTTTTTAATCTTTTTCGAATAACATTGTAATGTGTTTGAAAGGCCAAGTTTGGAGAAGACGGGCCAAAAAAACGCGAGCAGCAGGTGTGCTCTTATTTTCCTTCTTCTGCCTTCAGGGCTTCATCATCTTTGAAGGGTCTCCGGTTACCATCAAGTCAATCATACATACAAGATCCGGATGGCCTCCGGCACTTGTTGCGTGTTTGTCATTGGAAATGGGCCGAAATGAAGATGTTTGGAGGTTTTTTGATGGTTTTAAGTGTTTCTGGGGGTAGTGTAACATAATTTTTTTTTGATTTTTTGAAAGTTTTTTGGATTTAAAAGTTTTTTGTGGAGTTTTACTATAACTTTAAAAAAATGTTACTCTAGATTAAAAAAACTAACTTTATATCTAAAATAATCAAAAATCTAAAACTATTTGACCTTTCCTAACCATTCAACCTCTCAAAACCCTTGCCCCTGACCACTCTAGGCCATATTACTATATATTCACCTCGGTTCGTACATTTCTCTTTAGTTAAAAAAACTTAGTCATCTTATGTTTTTACAAATCTAACCCTCCTCCTCCTTCTTCTGCCTCTCGTTCCACTTAAAACGAAAGCCCCGGAGGGCATCAGACTTGTCAACTTAACCGGCTCTCAAGAGTCCATCCATAATCATTTCGTCCACAAGTCATCACCTTTTGACCTCTTTATGCATTTGGGCTGGGAAGGCCGTGGGGCGAACGTTTTGATTGCTAATTGCTCTTGATTTAGTGCGAATTGGGGAGGTGTTTGTTGTAAGGGTTGGTAAGGAGTGGGGGGAGAGGGGGGGGAGGGTAACGAAAGAGGAAGTTTAGGAGGGGAGGTGCTTTTTAACAGGATTGGAAAATTTTTTCAGTTACGATTTCGTTTTTGGTTTATCAAATTTAGAAAGTTAACTTTCCGGTCAAACAATATTGTAGTACAGTGGTCTCTCTGTATAGTGAACCATCTGTATAAGCAACTCTCTTTTTAGTAAACAATAAATTTGGCCTCGCCAATTCAATATGCATTAAAAACTCTCTCTGTAAAGGCAACACCCCTTATAGTAAACACAAAAAAGCCGGTTCCTTGGGGTTGCTTATACAGAGAGATCACTGTAGTATCTTTTAGGGCTACCCATATGATAACGCTCTAAAAATATTTAATTTTTTTGTAAATAACTTTTGTTATACAAGAGCACAAAATTTTTTACTTTGTTTTCTAGTTGAGTTGTTTGTTTTATAATTCAATTATTTTGTATGAGAACATGCTCGGGCATTATAGAATAGATTTTTATTAGAAATATTTTAAAAATTTGAGCTAACAACAATGTTATTAATCTTTTTTTGGTTTTTGGTTATTTTAACGATATAGTGATACTTCTCTTGAACAACACTTCTGCATAAAAAGCAACTTTTAATTTTTTTAAAATTTAATGGGTGCATTTACAACTTCTTTATAAAAAAGCTCTGTATAACGAACAAATTTATGTTATCCGAGCGATTTGTTATATACGAGTATCAATTTACAGTGAAACCTCCGTATGAGGAAACACTATATAACGAAACTTTTGTATAACGAACAACTTTAAAATCCCTGGTTATCATTACACAGTGCATTTTAAACCTCTCTATAACTAAACCCCGTCATAACGATTTAAAGCTTAGAAGTGTACTTTTTGTAGAAAAAATGGTTATACGGTAGGAGTTCTACAAGTTTATATTGATGTCTTTTTTATACATTTTAAAAAAAATTTTACGTTGTCTTCATGTCACCATTTTAAAAGTTACTTATCACTTTTTGTAAACAACACCTTTCGCTATCGAATATTTCTATTACAATTAATAAATCAGGCTTTGTTGGCCGCCGCTAATGTCATTTATTTAGTTTTAGCCTTGAATACAATTAATCATGTTGGCATTTCAGGTAAACTTACTTAGAGCCACTTAAAAAAGCAGCTGGACATATTATACTAGTGTTTTTTTATTAAATTACACTTTAAAACTTGATTTTAAAGGTATTTTTGAGGCTTTAAAGGCAGTTTTTAAGCTAAAATTAAAAAGCTTTTTTAACTTCTAGTACATTACGCAGTAATTTGTTTATCAGTGCTAAATAGTACCGTGGTGCTGTGTTAGTATCTATTGGACCTAAACTAACTTTGAAAGCTCAAGAACGTCAACTTATAGTGTTTTACTGCCTTAAACTTCAATGTTTTAAAGCCAAAGATATTATTTGGCTAGCCAAATGAAGCCTACCGACTGGTCGATAGTATGAATTCGTATTTACATTTTGTGTTTGGATTACTGTCAGTTATATTGGTATGTGAAGCTAATGAAGACAGGACGTGTGTAGATGGCTGTAAATGCACTGATAACACGGTAAGATACAGTAAAACATCAAGTTTCATTTTTTAATTTATACATTTAAAAAAAATGAAAGTCCAACGACCATGAACAATATAAAGACCACTATAAGCTAGAGACGTTTTTTATGGCCAAAGAAAAAACAAAAATTATGCGAATTGGCTTAGTTATAACGGCCGAAAACAGACAAAAGATATACGAAGAATTTACTCTCGGTTGACTTGTTGTTAGTTAGCGTAAACAGTAAATGGAGGGCACATTATAAAAATAAAATGTATATGGGAAAACAAGAAACCGACAGTAAATGGTACTATAAACAATAATAAAGGGGGGAGAGGTGTAACTTTAAGGATTTAAAGTGAAGACTTGCATAATTAAAAATACAACATAAAGTAACGTTATTGAGAAAATAGTTACCGTAAGTATAGAAGACTGTATAGAAGACAACACACTATAATATAGCACCTAGCTCAGAGCCCTAGCCCTAACCCAGAGCCCTAGCAAAGAGCCCTAGCCCAAAGCTTTAGCCTAGAACCTAACCCCAAAGACCTAGTCCAAAACTCTAACCCAAAGCCATAGCCCAGAGCCCTAGCCCAAAGCTTTAGTCCAGGGCCCCAACCGAGAGGCCTAGCTCAAAGCCTTAGCCCAAAGTTCTAGCCCAGTGTCTTAGCTTATAGCTCTAGATTAGATCCCTAGCCGAGAGCCCTAGTCCAAAGACGTAAACAGAAGCCTTAATTCTAGTTTTGACTCTAGTTCTAGTCTAGCTCCACTTTACTAGTTATACCTTATCTGTTACCTCCTTTACCCTCCGTTGGTTTTATTGTTGCCAATATCAATATCTTATGTTAGATCTATTCTTAGAATTACAGACAAATACATAATCTAAAAGAATATAAACTTATTATACAATTTATATCTTTACAATAATGTAATTATAACTAAATATGTCATAGTAAACAAACAAACAATGCTATTTTTTAACAAATAAAAAAACTTTTTTTAGCTAGAGTGCTACGAACTAGAACTAGAGCGAATCCCAGCGGAATGGCCGGGCTATTTCGAGAAGATTACATTACGGAATTGTACGATCACAACACTCGAAAAGAACTCGTTTCGACGTTTTACCGAGCTGGAAGAGTTGAAGATCGAAAACTGTCCCAAATTGGATGTAATCGACAAATATGCTTTCAAGGGGCTTCAGAAGTTAAAGTAGGATTTTTGTGAAATTTGACCTTCTTTTTCAAAATTAAAAAAAATAAAAATGAAATTTTGTTTTTTTATTTTTTAATTTTTTTTTCAAATTTAGGTTTACAAAATATTACATACTTTAAGCAAAAAATTTTTTTAAATACTGTTTCAGGCTCCTCCACATTGTAAATAATCCAAAACTACGGGAATTACATAGATTTTCATTTTCATCTATCGGCAATCAAAATCCACTACGAATCATATTGAAAAACAATGGCATTGAAAAGATACATGCCTATGCGTTCAAGTAAGTTATTGTCATAATATGATCTGTAAAGGGGAAGATCAATATTTTTGGTTTCACTCTTTTTAATTTTGTTTTTACTTTGGTTGGGCTTTTTCAATTTTTTGGCTTGGTTTGGCCTAGATTTTTAGGTCTAGACATAATAACAGAATTTTAGGCTTTCTTGACAATTAACGAATTATTTTTGTAAAATACGTCGTTTACGTTGTGTTCTAACAGAACTTTCTTTGATATGACTCTGGTTAGTAATTCACTCTAATTAAATACCACTTTGGTCTAGTCCTTAAGTGTCTTGCTAAAGGCTGTAATATACATTTTCAGAAACACGCACAACCTTCGTGAGCTTCACATTGAAGATCGTTGTTACACAGTAGAACCCAATGGCTTATCATCAATATCGCGGCTAGATTTCTTTACACTTAAAGGCGTTTGCGTTTTATCACTAAACTCATTTTCAAATACCTCTAGAATTCACAACTTATCAATTCTCGACTCGACTTTTACTTTGTCCAACGGCATTTTTGACCAATTAAGTCATGTTAATCAGGTGAGTGATTGCCTATATATAAGTATGTAGTTGAGCTTTGTCATCTAAATTTAGACAGCGAAGATAATGTGGATTATAGTGGGCGGGTAACTGTTTTTACAGTAAGGATTTTTTTTGTTTTAATCTTGATCAGTGACGCTTGAATCCTTAAAAAAACTAAAAGACATGATCAATTTGAAATTATTTTGATGACTTTAACATATAAGACATTTTTTGATGACATTTTATAAGCTTGACAAATGACAAACCGCATAGATTGACAAATGGAAGAGGACTTGAAATATTTGATATGTAATCGGATATGTATGGCTAAATTTAAAAAAATTCAAAAAAAAATTAATTTTAATTTTTAAAATTACAAATTATTTGCCTTTGCCTTGTCTTGTCTTGTTTGCCCGGCCTTTCCAATAAATGTGAAAAATTTTAAATTTTGTAAAATACGCCGTTGTATCTTCTTTAATTTCAGATCCAAATCCGTGAATGTCGAATAGGCAAATTGGAAGAGAACACGTTTTCGGGTCTTTTCACGGTGGGAAGTCTTCAGATTCAGACAACACAAATTGGTCGTGTTTCTCCTCGAGCCTTTGTCGGAATGGAGAACGTGGGTGTTCTGTTGATAAGCTATGTCACAATAAGAGAACCCATGGACACACCGGAGTGTTTGATGCACACAGCACACAAGCTGATGTTCAGTGAAAACACGTTACATTGTAGCTGCGAGATGCAGTGGATTCAGTTTTATAAGGTAAGTTGAAGGCAAATGACAAGAACTTTCTTTACAAAGCAAAAAACCGCAAGAACTTTCTTTACAACACAGAAAATGGCAAGGACTTTCTTTACAAAGCAAAAAACCGCAAGAACTTTCTTTACAACACAGAAAATGGCAAGAACTTTCTTCAAAAACTCTAAAAATCCTTTCAGGATCAAGTAATCCTCTCCGAGAACTATTGTGATAGAAGCGAAGCCTTCAAAGCCCTAGCCTACTTTAAACCCTTAGGCTGTGAACCATTAACTACAAAAGAACCGGAACCAGTTATTGTCAAGGTAAAACCCACAGTATCAGCTGTTTTCGTACCCGATAGTATTCGAAAAACTCAGCACGAGATCTCAGCCAGCTCACATTCTGTTTTGTCATTATTTTCTGTCATTGTCTTTCTTGGCTTTGCATTTTAAAAATTTTAAAACGTCCAGAATTGTCATATTTTTAAGCCTCACTTATCAGATTTTTAATAAATATTTTCTTTATTAATTTAAAATTTAAAAATTTCGAGATTTTAAAATTTTGTAAAAATAACAAAAATTTATTGAAATTTAACATTATGCACATTTTTTTCATATTGTAGTTATAAGTTATGTTTTATGCTGCCACTTTAACATGATAAGCAAAGTATTCCATTACCCGTAGATCGCGATGAGCCACACGGCCGACTGATATCAGCCGGTCGCTACAACATTTCGACTTTACACCGGCTTCCTGAAATTAGACAAACATTTACAACAAATTTTAAATGCATAAAATTAACTCTGGCCTAAAGATTTACAGTAATCCTATATAGAGAATAACTCGGAAATTTTAAGTTCGCAAACTTTGAAATTCTAAGCCAATAGACCTGAAAAGAAGCCCGCTAGGCCCGTGGGATAGGTTAACGTATGGTAAGGTAAAATATAATAAAGTCTTGAGTTTTTAAACCAAAGTTATCGTAAAACACAAGGTAAAACAGGTTCATCGAAAGTACAGAACCCAAGCCAAAAGTGCATTTAAACTTGTATATATTTATTTCCGAGTTTTTGTTATGCAGGTTAGTTACAATGTAACCTAGTAAGTGCCAATTGATCATTTTTAACTTCAATAAAATCAAAAGTAGGAGAGGTAGGGTTAATTCTTTCCTTGAGTTTCAAGTTTTAAAAGTTTTTTATTCTGTTAAAAAACATAGAGCTTACCTCAAATGACTTTTCCTTGTTACCAAATTGACCGGTTGAAAACATGTCTCGAAGGTTTTTCTCAACAAACAAGTGGTAACCTTCCTGAAAAAAAATAATTGCCATTTTTATTATAAAAAAAAGTAAAATACGTCTTGCACACCTTTAATTTCTTTAAAAAATTTTAATTTTACAATTTTTTGTCAAAAAAAACTTCTAAAGATTGAGATTTAACTCACACTATCGACCGGATCAACAACAGTAATATCGTTGTTATTAGCACACTGTAATAGTCCTTTACCAGAGTAAAACGGGCTAAAGAAGCCTGGTTTACAGCTGTTTTGAGCGATTTTGGTCAAAGCTTCGTTTGACATTGCAATACCTGCATCCAATGCAAACCCGTGATAGTCAAAAAATGGAAAAATATAGGAAAATGGAGATCTAAAAATATAATATAAAAATAGTAAGAACTTTCTTTACAAAGCAAAAAATCACAAGAACTTTCTTTAAAAAATGTAAAATGGCAAGGACTTTCTTTACAAAACAAAAATGGCAAGATCTTTCCATTACTTACCTGTAATTCTGTAGTCTACCCAACATAACCGCGCTTTCTTTGCTATACCTGCTAGCCAATAATCTCAAGTTTTCTGGAACAAAATAGTTTTGTTCATTTAGAAAAACGGTCCAAACGATAGTATCGTTCTTCACTTTTGACTTTTCGTTATAAACAAATTGTACTATCCTCCAAAATATTGAGTATGATGTTGATCCAAACGAGTTTTCTACCGTATATACTTCTGCTTGATCTAAAATAATTGAGTTATTTTCAGATGTCGTATTTTACCCTACCCTATCTTTTTTTACCCTACCCTACCCTACCCTTCACTATAATACATTATCCTACCCTACCCTACCTTCATATTAAAATAATATTTAAGCTTTTTTACCTCCTAACTGCCTCTGTAACTTGTCATTATGACTGAAGAACAGTGTTCGATTACATTTACTGCCATATGTATCCACAATGCCACTGACCCATTTATGAGGCTTCGGATTCGATGGTTGTACAATAACTACACACTTCACATAAATATTACTCAAGTTTTGTTTGTGTTCAACATCATGTTTCAATATATATTCATCTACATCATTCCTGTCATCAACATTCAAAAAAGTTCCAAAGAAAATGCCAATACAAATTCCCAAAACTAAAGCGAAAACGTTACGCTGATTATGCAAATTTAGCCATTGTTTCAGCATTGAGAAGGTCAAGTTGAGGTCAGGTCATAGATCCTGAAAATTTTTTAATAAATGGCAAAAACATTCTTTACAATGCAAAAAATAGCAAAAACTTTCTTTACAGAACAAAAAAGTGACAAAGACTTTCTTTACAGAACAAAAAATAGCAAGAACTTTCTTTACAAAACAAAAAATGGCAAGAACTTTCTTTACAGAATCAAAAAAACAAGAAATTTAAAAAAAATGGCAAGAACTTTATTTACAGACCAAAAAGTGAGAGTAACTTTTTTTACAAAACAAAAAAGTGGCAAAAACTTTCTTTACAGAACAATAAATGGCAAAAACTCTTTATAGAGCGAAACAATTGGAAAAAACATTCTGTATTAGAAAAAAAATAGAAGAAACTTTCTTTATAATGTAGAAAAGAGCATGAATTTTTTTTACAAAATAAAAAAAATTTAAAAAAAACTCAAAAATCAGTAAGGAAACACATAAAAAGTTAATTTTAACCTCCCAAACTAAAAAAATCTAAAAAAAAGTATTTCCATGGAACCTGAAAGTTTTTTGGGAAAAATAATCGAGAAATGGTGCGCTGAAAGAAAAGACAAGTTAGAGAGGGGGACAGTCATTGTATTGAGACGCCGATCACGCCCCGCTTTTAGAGTAAGGTTAAATGGTTCGTTTGAAGTCATTAATCCAAGGGTCATCGAGGAAATGCAATTTTTTATTAAAATTCATGAAAAACAGAATAAAATTAATTAGAAAATCAAGGTTTTGAGACTTTTAGGCGCTTTTTTCAAATTTTAAATTAGCAAAAATATGTAGAAAAGCCAGATTCAATTTAGATTTTCTTTAGGGGTTTCTTATAAAAAATGTAGAATGAGTAATATATAAACATAGAAAACTAAGAAAATACATAACATAATGTCGTGCTTTTCGAAAATCAACACAGTAATCCTCGTAGAAACTTTTAAAACTTTTTAGACGTGCGTTAGACCTGAAAGGAAACCCTTATAGATCTGGCTCCGGGCCAAGGCCAAAGCAATAAGATTTTAAAACGCGTTTAACCGGAACATGTAAACCCAGAAGAAGGGGAGGTTCAAACTGGACATGAGGAACGGGCCTGGGAACAATTTTCAAGGCCGATCTGAATTTTGCTTAGAACCGGCCCGGACCAGCACAATTTTTTACATACAAACGAGCAGGGCTTTTTCTTAGCCGGAACCAGCCAAAAAAGTAATAAATTCTAATAAAAAAGTTTTGAAATTCCAATTTTAAACTAAAAAAAACCAAATCTGTCTTGAAAAGCTATGGAAAACAGCGATCGAGACGTGAGATAACGCTGTTCAAAGATACTTCTCAACAATAGATTCCATAACAAAGCATCTCTATGTTAGATTCGTTAGTTTAAAATAAGTACAGTGAAACTCTTGTACAAAAAATCGTGTAGAAACAAAATGTAAACCTTGTTTGTTATAAAAGAATTTTGTCATACAGGAGTTTTAAATGCGCTGTGTTTGCCTGGGCTTTGAAAGTAGCTCGTTAAAAGAAGAGTTCATTATAGAACAGTTTCACTGTATCTTCTAACCTTTTCACAACGACATACTTTTTAATTTTATTACAATAACAAACGTCGTCACAGATCCCTAGTAGTTGGCTGCTTAACTCTTTACAACCGTTATGCCCAGTAATCAGCTACGTGCTTTATAAGCTGCTGGATAAAGAGCAGTTCATTGTATAAGAGATCCACTGCATGGAAAAGTAAAAAGTAAAAAATGTTTTTAAAAGCGAATTTCGAAGCAAATTCAAAGTCAAAACATCTTGTAAGCTTTTGTTTTCAAAGGACGTCATATCCGATGTCATAAACAAAGTGATTACTTTTTAGCGCAGCAAGTATTACCTAAAAATGCCTAAAAAATGAACTAATTATAGGTTGTTCAAATAGTCTTGTGCCCCTTTTTAAAAAAGTGTGGGTTGGGGGCAAAGAATTATTTGAAAATTTTGTTAAGGAACACAGAATTTTTTGAACGACCCGAAATTAGTTTCTTTACAGAAAGTTAACTGCAAAACACACAATAAAGCACAAAGTCAGAATCCATCCTACATTGGTTCCAAAACTTTTCTTCAAAAACATTAAATTCGGTGCTTAATATTTATTATTCGGTCTATGTAACATGGAATACCACACCTTGATGACAAACATACCATCGATCGCAGGGATTTGATTTAATCAAAATAACTTTAAATTGGGCTGAGTTTTGGCTAGAATTGTTAACATATTGGCTAATATTTATTGTATACCGTCTTATACTTACCATATATTCCTTTTTATTCATTGTTTATTGCCTTATACTTACTGTATATAGCCTTATGTTCAGAAAATTAAATATAATTACTCTGTATTAGATTAAAATTGGCTTTTATTTAATGATATTCAATTAAAATTGACCAAAAGTTTATGAAATTTATTTGAAATTGCCTAATTACCCTACAATATCCTAATTTTCTTCAATAATCTTCCACAAAAACGGCCTAAACTACCTAAAACAATCTCATTTCCTACCAATTATTTCCTTCAATGAACGCTGATGACGAATGTGACTACGAGCTAGCAAACTCAGGAAGTCGTCAGACCATCGACCTAGCCCTATCATGTCTAGGGCTCCTACTAGGCTCCATACACCTAACCCTGCTCATCTACATACGATACGCTCAGAAACACAAAGGTTTCTTCCTGATGCTAATCCAAGCCATCATCAGTGTGTTAACAATGTCATTTCTGATATTTGGCTGCATTGTAGACATGTGTGCCATCAGATTGAATTCTGTTTTGGCATTCTTCAGAGCTTACATCTGGTTATTCTTGGTTAATGCTCTAATTGCTGCTTATGGTTTTATTGTTGTTGCTCTGTGTTTGGATAGATATGTAGCATTGAACAACCCGTTATATTATAAGTTGTCATTTTCGAAACTGAAAGCAAGATTGGTTATCATGTTGATATGTACTGTGGTTTCTGTTTTGGTCTGTTTCAAGTGGTTGATCTACAATAAGGTCGATGGTGTTGATGGCTTTGTGGAGAATGAAGTTGTGAGTTTAACATAATGTTATCTTAACACTTTAGGCATTAATTTGTCAATGTAAAAAAATTTTTTTTTGAATTTTACGTTTTTTAAAATCTTTAAAATTTTTTTTTACAAAAAAAACTTTTAAATTTAAAAATATTTTTTAAACTCGTTTACAGATAACTTCAACCCTCTGGTATAACGTGATAAAAACTGCTTCGGCTTTAATGCAATACTTTGTTTCTGGCGTTGTGATGATACTTTTAAGTGTCAGTATCATAATAAAGTTAAAAGACGTCAACTATCAACATTCAGTCGAACTACGGCTAGCTGAAGGCTCCATGAATGAGTGGACTAAACATCATAAGGTAAGGCAGGAAAGTTGCCAGCGATTCTTGCTATAAGCTTCTAATTTTGATTTAGACTTATTTTTTAATTTTTTAGGTTAGTGAAAATCTCAGTTTTAAACACTTTTCGCAAGACAACTCTTTCGTTGCGGGACCTAAGTTGAACTCTTAAGGGTTGGTTGCGCCACGGCCTGGTTTCTTTCAAAGTTGCTTTGACTTTTAAAAAAAATTAGTTTACTCGTATTTTACATTTCAGACTACTGCCAACATTTGTATTTTCCTAACGTTCTCGTATATTTTGTGTAACTGGCCGTATGCTTTGGCTGATTATTTCTACAGTCCTGAGGTAAGTCATTATTTGGTAAATTAAAAGTTTCAAAACAACAGAAATTATAATCCTAATCAAGAAAAACAAATTAAAATTTTTTTAAAGCAGTAAATTCATCAAAAGCTTAAAGAAATCACAAATATCGTATTTTACAAAAAAATTTTAAAAAATCTTTCCAGCTCTCCAACACACTCTGGTACGGCACAATTGAAGTAATAATCAATATCCTCCAACTTTTGTACCTCCAACTCAACATTTTCTTCTTCGCTTACTGTAGCCGGATATATCGTCAGAATCTGTGTTTCCTAACGGCGTGTACCACAAACGAATTGAAAAAGTTGATCGCTTGGCAAAAAAAGTTTTATATCACAAGGAAATAAAGCCAGCTGTTAGTTGAATTGGATCTGATTAGTCATTGTTTTATTTTTGTTTAGTTTGTGAGACTCTCGATTAACTTTCTAATTTGTTAGGGTTTTAGGCTTAATTTTGAGGCTTTTTTAAACAGAATGGATTGACGAATCGTATTTTACCACTATAAATTTTAATTTAAATTGTTTTAGATAGAAAAAATAGTCATTTTTAGATAATTTTCGTTTATTTTACCTTTAAATATAAACTTTCTTGAAGTAATAATAAACTAAAAAAGGTCTTGTCGTTTTTCAACCTTAAAATACACATAAAACAACGACAAGACTTATGACTTAGGCAACTTGTTTACTTTTGATTATTAAAGACCGGACCAATATTTATGCACCGCCTCGGGCCAAAATATTCCGACCCTTTTCCTTTAAACTTTGCTTTGATTCGACCAGAGCCCGACCTGGCCTAGTAGGCCTCTTTTCAACCTTTGATGCCATAACAAATTTTACAATTTTCAACAATCAAACTTTCTAAGGCCTATAAAAATTCCAGAAAACCATGTTGAAGCTATCCCTCTTACTCCTAATCATAACCTTCTCCACCGTTCACACCGGCATCATTGGCCGTACTCAAAGTGCTGGTGCTCAAGGAGTTTTACTGTGTCACGGCCAACGAGTAGCCAACGTACTTGTCAAACTGTTTGACGCTGATACTGGAGTAGATCGCGATGATTTGTTGGCTTCTGGCAAGACGGACAGAAATGGATTCTTCAGAATCAGTGGAAGCACCAAGGAGATCACTAACATTGATCCGAAGTTGAATATTTATCATGATTGCAACAATCAGTTGGTGAGTTTACTTATTTTGTTAAAGTTTTGATAATGTTTTTTCTTTTTAAACTCAAATTTTTGTGATTTTTAGAAATTTTCATGTTTGCACCACGCAGTAGATTATATTTACATTGCTCAACAGACATACTACTATTCTTTCTAATTTTAAATAAAAAATTTTAAATTTTTTAAGTTGCTTTATAAAATTTCAACTTTTCAGCCCTGCAAGCGAAAGTTCAGTTTCCCAATCGCCGACCAGTACATTAGCAAAGGAAAAACAGTACAAAGTCATTATGATGTTGGATACCTCGAATTGTCAGAAAAATTCCCTGGAGAAGCTCGTGATTGTATTCACTAACTTTTTTTTCATTTTTTCTCTTTTTCTTATAGGTTGTTCAGATAATTCTGTGCTCTCTCATATAAAAATTTTCAAAGTTAGGGGGTCCAGAATTATTTGAAGAACCTAAAATAATAAATTTTTTTTAAAAATCTTGTTTTTAATTTTTAGTATTGGTGGGACTTTTACTTATAAGATAGAGTACTATGAAGAAGGCATAAAAAGCTTGTAGTTGCTAGAGTTGAAAGTACTAGTGAATTTACGACAAAACGTTTGCTGTAGCATATGAAACTTTACTTTTACGAAAACCGGCAAAAAAGTAACAAAATTAAAGGCATTAGTATCAAGAAAGTACAACTTCTGTGAAAAAATTCCTTAAAAATTTAAAATTTGTTCGTTATAGAGAAGTTTTGCTATACAGGAGTTGTAAATGCACAATGGAGCTTTAGGTACAAATTTAAAAGTTGTTCCTTAATCAGAGATTTCGTTCTTATTATAGTAGAAGCTCGTTCCACAAAAGTTCCACTTGAAGTTAAAAAGTAAAATTACTTTTGTGATTGTAGCCCTTTTTAATATTGTCATAATAACATTCGTTTTAAACTTGTTACTATAATATACGTTTTAACTTAATCACAACAACAACCGTAGCCACTAATCCCAAGTAGCCGGCTACCCATCTCTCTACAACCATTAACCCCTGTAATCAGCTACGTATGTTTATTAGGTATCGCGATCATGGATAATAAAATCCGAAAAGTCGCTGATTTCTGGGTCGAAATTCCTGACGTGCCGGTGAAAAAATCCCTGCGGGGCGCTTTATTAAAAAAGAAGGCGGGTGATAAGCCTAAAAAAGAAAGGATCGGTTTTTTTCCCGACTAGGTCATGTTTGACTTTGACATAGTTGATATCGAAAAACCGTTTCGCTTCCTTTGGGCTCTTTAATAACCGTTGGGTAATTGGGATGGATAGCGAGTATGGAGGGTTGTAGGTATAGATAAATTGTTGTGAATTTTGCAAAATTTTGCTAAAATGTTATATCAATACCATTTTCAAGGCTTTCGGCTAAACAAAATGACATTTTTAAAAATTTTTTTAATTTAAAAATTTTAAACAAATGTTTTTGTTGACTACAGTGAAACCTCTTTAGTATTATATTACCCTCGATAATGTGACACCCTCTTTATAATGACAGCTTCTTGACGGCCATTTCTAAGAGAACTCCAGCCGACAAGGTACCTGAGTAGTATGACACCTGCCCTATAATGACGGCTTTTTGACCACTGTAATAATAAGTTGTCGAAATAGTTATGTGCCCCCACTCAAAGCTAAGGTTTGGAGCTGGGGGCGCAGAATTATTTGAACAACCTAATGAAACCAATATCAAAAAGTACCGGCGTAGTGTTACACCCTGGTTATAAGTACAGGTTTGGACCAGTCCCTTGAGTGTCATACTAAAGAGGTTTACTTTGACTTCACGACACACCTTTTTCGAGTCCCGATGACTTCACCCTTTAATTTAAAACAATTTTTTGAAAATCAAAAAATGATGTCATCAACTTACGACAACCCAATTTTGCAGCAATCTTCGCTCGAAATTCGTAAAAAATGCGTTCACATTGACCAGTCGCTAAACAACATGTTTTTACTCGTTTCAAACATGTACTTAATTAGTTCAGACTTGTTTGATAGCCCGCCCGACATCTTCCTTGAATCAGTCGACTTAATGTCTGTGGGATTCAAATTTCAACGTCATTTCAAGCCTGTTTGCTTGTTAAATGTCTTGTTGTTATTGATGAATGTTTGTTTGGGTATGACATTATCAATGATACGAAAAATATCATTTATCTTAAAAAATTTTTTAAAATAGTTTATCAAGGCTACTATAATATAGCTAATTTCATCAAAATTTCAAAAATTAATACTATAGAACTTTTGTATAACAAAATCGAGTCATACTGTATTATCATCCTTTTAGGTTTCTAGTCCTTTCCTCTTATTACACCTCCTATCACCTCATGTAAATCACTCTTTCACCACCCCAAATCGTCCCGAATATCTTGTCAACGTGAAAAAAGATGGTACGAGGTATGAAAGCGCGGATTCACGTTTTATAGGCTAATTTTGTTGCGTAACGGGAACTTGTTAACAAGTAAAAAAGTGTCGTCAAATCATCCCACAACATCCACATTCCGCTCATTGTTTTCGCTTGTAATCAACCGTCCTCTCTTTTACTTTCGTCTTATCTTTTACTGTTGTTGTAGCCGCGGTTCTTGAGGTGTATTTCTGTGTAACCCTTGTTATAACGAGCTTCTATATACTAATTTCTTACCGTGCTACTTTTGAAATTAATTTTCAATTTAAGTTTTCAAAATCCTTTATCTACCTGTAAACCTGTACTATATTAATCACCACACTCCAGGCCATGACCAGACGGCTCTGCTTGACCTTCCTCCTACTTGGCACGGCGATCAACGCCCAAGACAAGGCGTTCCGCAGCCCTCCCCAACTCCCACCCAACTTCCACCGTTCTCAATCGATCTCAAACCAACAACCTCAAGCCATCGTACCGCAACAAGGACAATTCGTACCATTCCCATCTGCACCACAACCCAACTTTGTACCATCCGGCCACTTTGTCCCAACCGGCATCACACCAGGACAAGCCCAATTCGTCCCACCTCAATTCATTCCTCAAGGACAACAACAAGTTCAAGTTCAAAGGCAATTCCTGCCAAAACCAGCCCAACCATTACAAGAACCAGTAGAATCAAAGCCTGCAGCCGCTTCTCAAGGCACTCCAGAACCTCAAGGTCTTCAGACCACAACTTCAGCTGCCCCAGAAACCCCAGTCACTCCATCGATTCCAGTTGACAAGAATGTTGACTTAGATGGAGATGGTGTGTTGAGTTTGGCTGAAGTACAATATGCTGCTTTTGTTCATCATGGTCTATCTTCGAGCGTTGTAGAGACCTTGTTCAATCAGGTGGATAAGAACAAGGATGGATATTTGAATGGCAATGAGTTTACCGACATTAGACCATTGGTCTTGGCCAAGAGTGAGAATGCCGCTTTGAGATATCTTCAGGTAAGAAGAGTAGAATCGTTCACATTTATAGGCCATGTATAATATATTACAATAAAAAAACTTTTTTTAAATTTCAAAATTTTAAATTTTAAAATTTGGCTAAAAAACCATTTTCAATTAAAAAATTATAAAAATCCATATTTGCAGAACGTCGACACCGACCGTAACGGTCTTCTCAGTCTTTCTGAAGCCCAAGCTTACATTCTAAAAGAATATGGTATCAGTAACCGTGATGTAGAGAGAATCTGGAAGCTTGTTGTACCTACAACTACTGATGAGATGGACGCCGTCCTCTTCGCCAAGCTCCGCCGAAGAGTCCGCGGAATGAGCATCAGATTGGCCAGGCAAATCATGAAAGTGAGACACTATTTTTTATATTTTGATGTGATGTATACACAGTAGCAATCTAGAACTTTAGTAATTCAGTTTACCGCCTTTCCTAACAGCCTAAAACTTTCAGACCGCCGACGTCAACGAAGACGGCCATATTGACCTAAAAGAGGCCCAGATGGTAGCCTTCGAACAAGAAGGCATTGGCAGCGGTGATGTTATTGAAATGCTCGCTAGTGTTGATGATAACAACGACGGAGAACTGAATGCTCCAGAATTCGCTGACTTTGAAAGAATCGTCCGTGCTCGTGCAGTCGATACTGCCAAGAAAGCCTTGAAAGTCGTGGATTCAGACCGTAGCGGCGCTTTGACCATCGATGAAGCCAAGAAGATCGCCTTCGACCACTACGGCTTCGACGAACGCACTTTGGAGCCATTCTTCGCTCAAGCCGATGAGAATGAAGATGGTGAACTTGATGCTGTCGAGTTTGCTGGGTTCAGAAGTGTGATTCGGAACAGAGCTGTGAAGAATGCTCAAGCTGTGTTCGCTGAGTACGATAATAATGGAGATGGAGTTATTAGCGGAATTGAGGCTGAGGAGAAGACGAGAAGAGAGGATGATTTAGATGCTAAAGAGACATTGGGATTGTTCAATGTTGCTGATCAAGACCGTAGCAACTACTTGGACAGAGTTGAGTTGGCTGACTTCGTAAGACTAGTGAGATTGAGTGCTATCAAGTACATCAACGACCATATTAGAGTAAGTTATTTTTCGTCAACTCATAAACTACTTCTTTTCCGCCTCCCGCCTTATTTATCATCCATGTTATCATCCCTATTTATCATCAATATTACCTTCCCCTACCTCATCTATCATCCCTGTAACAACCCCACCTGATTTATGATACCTGTTACAGCAAATCTTCACCACAACTCGCAGTTGTTTTTACTCTTCAATTTCCAGGATTTCGATACGAACCGCGATAAACAGGTCACTGTTGATGAATTGGAGTCGATCATCGAAGACAAATACCGAGTGGAGCCCGCCGTGACACGCCACATCTTCGAGAAGGTCGACGTGGACGGCTCCATGGATTTGAGTGCGGGCGAGATCGTTGACTTTAGGCACGAAATCCGCAAGTACGTCAGCGACCGGAACGCTCGCCAAGAGTTGAACGAACAAAACAAAATGGAGCTTGCTGAGATCGAGGCCAATTTGAAGGGTGAGCCGGCGCCACAACGCGAGCTCAGCCGCATCGAAATAAAGCCTGAGACTGCGGAGGTAAATAAGTTGACAAAAAATGACAATGACATAATGAAGAGTAGTTATGAGTGATCAAAATAGCACATTTAACACCAAGTTTTTTCAATTATCATCACTTAGAAACAGTATTACCTACATAAAAACAAAAGTTTTTCCAATTTTTTTTACAAGAACAACTTTAAAACACCATTAGTTAGATCAATTTAAAAAGTATCGCGACCATAAAACCATAAAAATTAATACAAAGATCTCTTTCAGGACCCAGTACCACTAGAAGTATCACAAGATCAACCAAAATCAGAGCCAGAATCAACCGAAACCACACCAAAACCCTCACCAATCATTGACTCTGACGGCAAGCTCTCTGAATCAGAATCTGCACAATCTGAAACTGAATCAGAATCCTCAAACAAAGCGGTAGAATCTCCAGAAGCCTCAAAGCCACCAGTTGACAGTGACAAGTCATCTGACGATGAGAAATCAGCAGCTAGAGAAGAGAAATCAGCTACTGAGGAAAAAGCAATGGCTACAGACGAAAAGAAGCCAGAAGGCAAAGAAGAAGTTGAATATGAATTAGTAGAAGAAGTTGTTGATGAAGAAACACCAGCTCCTACTACTACTACTACTACTACGACTACTACGACAACCACTACTACCACAACAACCACTGCTGCACCCACGACCACGACGCCTGCTCCAACGTCGCCATCAGGTCCAGTGAAAAGAACTAGAATCGTCAAGGTCAGAAGGCCGAAAACTACCACTACGACCACTGCTGCTCCAGGTAAGACTAGGGTTTTGGGTATATCTTGTTTTTTGTCATCTACATTATTGTAGCTCCAAAAAACATTTAAAAATGCTTATTTTAAGCAATTTGAAAGTTTAAAAATTGAAAATTCTATAAAATTTCTGACCAGTCCATGCTCAAGACATTCCCAGCTATATTCACCATCCACTCAACTAAATAACCCTCCCAAGTACAATTCAAATTCAGTTATTTTTTCTTTCAGAAGAAGAGATTGTGGAAGAAGTAGTAGTCGAGGAAGAAGAGCCAGCTCCAAGCCATTAGACCCAAACATAATAACCTACTCCCCACCATTCTGTATTTAATATCATGTGCAATATTATAATTGATAATATATGAAACATAAAAACCTTTGGAGTTTTGTTTTGATCAGCCGCTTTTTCAAAGTTGCCAGTTATTTTTGGTGGTATGGTCCTTCAACTTTGGAAAACTTGGAATTCTTTTTTAGGGAAGTTTCAGGAAATTGAATTTTTGAAGTTTTTCAAAAAATTTCGGAATTTGAATGTTTAAAAACTATTTTTGAGCCTTAAAGGTCTTAGAAATGACAGGAAATAACTAAACTAAAATTTTTAAAATTTTGGTTTAGGCTTGTCATGGTATTTTTTACTTTTGAAACCTCAGTTAGGCTTACGATAAATATTTTCACGCCTGTAGGCTTACCATTATAAAATAAATTTTTAAAGCTTGCCAAAAAACTCAGTTCCATGTTACCCTACCCAAACTAAAATTTGGCGTAAGTCTACATTTTGATAGTTCCTATCAAAGTTCAGCACATCTCTTTGGCCTAAAGCAAATTTTTTTGTCAATTTCGAAAAAAATTCTTTTTTCTTAATTTCTAAACGAACCAAGCTACTATACCTACAATTTTCCGTAAATTAACCCCTCGTTACAAAACATACCAAAAAAGTCCAAATTAAAGTTTTGACTAACCATAATTTAACTTTTTTCTTTATTAATCCCCATTCATTGTAAGCATAAACCATAACCATGCCTCCTAACCTCTCTCTCCACCCTAATCCCGCTCTCTCCCCCATATCCGTTACCAACGTGCTCTCGAGCAACCCTGCAGCCATGTTTCAAAACACACAAAAAACGAACTTGAAAGGTGCGCGACAGACCCCTCAGGACAGGCCTGATCGCGGCCCAAACATCCAGCCCTGATCCTCTCAAAGTCCTCGCATTAACCCAAAGCCGTTCCAGATGTTCTCGGGTCGCGAATTTTATTGATATTTTGTGAGTTTAGAGAGATGAACAATGGTTCTGTCAAATGAGTTGAATGTTGTCCTGATCAAGCTGAAAGGTGCGATCTACGAAGAGGATTTGGGGCTGTTTCCGGAGCTTTGTAACGACTTGGTTGATACGTTCGTCGACAGTTATAAGCATTGTCGCATTGGGACGGATGTTGTTGTAAGTAGAGAAAGCTTAGTAAAGATCATACAATCTGTTCACTATAATGAAAGCTTTATTATCCTTCGACAGACTTCCTCTTGACATATTATAGTTATCTTCTTTTTTGCCACATTATGATAGATTTCTTCTTGATAAGGTTGTGATAAACTTCTTTTTTTTGCCACAATTTATTTGACGCAAGATTAGCCAAGCACGTATCTTAACTAATTTTTTCGAACTTTCAGGAATCCCTAAAAGCCCTGACCCAATGGCTGGACGTTCAGACCATCGAAAACACTGTAAATATTGAAACGGGTATTGATCTGATTGAAAACCTAAAATCAACAATAAATAATGAAGCTACAGAAGAAGCAGAAGCTACGGATAAAGAAGATGATCTCATAGAAGCTGAAGACAAACTCGCTGGCATTGACGAGCTGGTAAAGCAGTTAACTTTAAGGTAAGGGAGTTTTGAAGGTATCAAAGACTTAAATTATAATTTTTCTACCTCTTAATATAACACTGAGAATACTGTCAATATAAAACTCAAATCTTTTAGAAATGTCCCTCGTTTCGAGCCAGAAATCCCAGAATTCTCGTCGGATTCAGAAGACGACGATTCAGATATCAAAGTCAGCGAACTGAACGAACAACGAGTTGAAAAGAAAGGTTCTCAAACATCAGAACACGAGGTGGAGAAACACACAGACGGCAGAACTGTCACCACCAAAAAGTTCAGCACTTCATCTTCAAGCAGAACCAGTCAGACAGTGAGTTACCTCATGTGAATACGATAATATAGGTCTTAATTTTTATTTACCGAGCCAAAATTAAATCATACGCAGACGATCAGTGTCATTTTTAACAACCTTAAAACCCTACTTTTACCACAATTCAATTTTTTGCCAAAAACAAGCAATTTAGCCGTGTATAGACCAATTTCAAACGGTGAATCTATTGTAATATAACAATATGTCCTATTTTACAGAGAACAATCAAAATATCAGGATCAGCAATACCTGAAGACATACTAAAAAAACTGCAAAACGAAAAACTAGACTTTGATGGAGATGAAACGGAAGACAAAGAAATCACCATCCCCAATAACATGAACATCATGGACAGCGATCTCAGCGACAATTGCCACTCAAAAACCAAAACAGTCCAACATAATGAAGCGGTTTTACAGTAAGTATAAAAAATACCTTAAAATGACTTACCTTGATGTTTAGAGCAGTTACTCGACAAGCGAAGACCAATGGACGGATAAAGATGGATCAACACAGCCAGAAGTTGGACATGATCGACTTGAATGCTAAACAAATCGATTATTTTGAAGTATGTCAAGCATAATTTATTAACATCTACAAAAAAAGCCACGTATTTTACAAAACAATGTAAAACAGAACAAAAAATTGTTTTTAAAACTATAAAACCGGTCAGAGCTACGATATTTTCTAAAATTTCTAGAAAATGTGTCATTATGATATTTTGAAATTTTTTTATTTTTTAGGGCGAAAGACTTATCGATCGCCATGGCGGAGGATTATACCAAGAACGGTCAATAATACAGAATAAAATCAATGATCATAAAGAAGAATACGAGATTCTGTTACCCGTGAAACGAATAGCACATCAAACGGTTAAGGTAAGGGCTTATATTGCGTTGTTTTTTGTTTTAGGACAAGATTTTTGATGTTATCTGTGGTGTTGCTTTAAAGCATTAAGCCTTTGGGTCGTCCAGATGTTTTAGATTAATTTAAAGATTTTTTTCAATAATTTCTTAGCTAATTTGTTCATTTTTTATTGTTCGCTCTAAAATTTTTCATATTGTTCTAGACGATTGAAGATAATGAGCGAAAAGATGGTTATTTCAAAGCTGTTGCGTTGGAATCGTACATCCAATTGAACGACAACTTAAGGGTATATGAGGAACAGAAACATACACAAATTCACTATGCATTTGGACTTTCTGGAGTTAAAACAACAGATCAGAAAGAATTATTGGCTTTGATGTGGGATGATGAAGATAAAGCTGTGGAAGTCGAAGAAGAAGAGCAAGCTGACATTCCTAATGCTTTACCTGAACGTACAGATGTCCTTGAAGCGCTTGATGCTACTGAATACTTGATTTTGAGACAGAAACAGAATCAAGAGGTATGGATATTGTTTTAGGTTTTTTTTGTGTTTAGGTAACACTTTGTAAATTTTAGTTGCTGTTTTTAAGTGGTACTTATGAGATGGTAATTATGATTTGATCCCAAATTTTATCTTCTAATAATGGTCATTTCACTTGAATTTTGGATTTTAGGTCTACGCTGGGCCAGCCAATGCTCTTATTGTACATTCTACTCATCCTAAGAGCTCTTTGTTGTTTCAAGAAGCATTTTTGTTTACTTTTCCGGGTTTTATCGATTCTTCTGAACTTATAAAGAAGTTGCTACACAGGTATGTACAAATCTTTTGGTTTTTTGAACTTTAGGTACTTATAGTTAACAAAATTAAAAGTTAAAAATGAATACACTGACCGCATCATATTTTAACAAAATCGTATTTAAAGCCAAAGAAAGGGTCATTTTTGACACGATTTTTTATAGGTTTTCCTACATGAACACGTTAGATACTGAAGATTATCGAAGGGCAGCGAAGCAGACTTTTTCATTGTTGGCCAGATTGTTAAATCACATAGGATTAATGGAGTTTAGAGCCGAATTTCTTACACAAATTAATCAATTTATATCAAAGTTGTTGAATCTACGGTATTTCGATGCTGCTCGGTTGTTAAGGTAGGTTTTGGGAAAAATTTAAAGATATTACGGGGGAAAATATAAATGTATTCATATTTATGTTGTTGTACAGTGAAACTCCTGTATAACGAACTCCCCTATAGCGAAACTCGCGTATAACGAACAACTTTTGAATCCCCGTCGAGCACTACACAGTGCATTTAAAACTCCTGTATAACGAAACTCCTTTATAACGAACAAATTTCTAGTTCCCGAGCGACTCGTTATACAGGAGTTCCACTGTAGTTAAATTTTAAGAAAATTTTGCATTTGCAGGAAGTTCTTGTCGAAAAAGCTTGGAATTTTATATGATTCGCTTAATATATTGCCTACCAATGGATTAAACTCATCAAAATATAAACATATATTTAAAGTAAAGTCAGCCGATATTGCTAAACAAATAACTTATCTTGATTGCAACCTTATGACTGATGTCACGGTAAGTTTTATGATGCAAAGTTACATAATAAAAGGTAATTTATACGTTAAGGTAATTTTTCTTAAAATTTTTAATAATAGATACAAAAATAAAATACTAATTGATGTAAAACTTTTATCTCTTTCAGACGGCCGAAGCTTTGTTATGTGCTTCAAATCAGTCTTCAGAGAATTGTAAAAGTATAGTCAAGATTACCGCACAGTTTAACAATCTGTCATTTTGGATTCGATGTCAGATTCTGACGCCTGATTCTCAGAAAGATCGTGAAAAGAGGTTCGAAAAGTTTTTGAAAGTTGCCAAGGTAAGTATAGAGCCATTTACGGCAGGGTGTATATGAATTTTTTTAATTTCCTTTGAAGTACGCGTTCTAAAATGGATGATTTTGGTCAAAAAGTTTGTAGAAAAATGTTTTTTGTTATAATTGAAAGACTTTATTCTAAAATTTTAGGCTTTGAAAAAGCTGAACAACTTTAATTCATATTTGGCTGTGATAAGTGCATTGGATTCAGGACCAGTCAAGAGATTAGAGTGGCCTAAACATATCAGAAAGCAAATAGCTGAAATGGTGACGATAATGGACAGTCGACAGTCTTTCAGCAACTTTAGGTCAGAGTTGAACAAGGCCAAGCCACCTCTTATTCCTTATTTGTAAGTTTTATTTTAAATTAGGTTTTGGACAGATAAAGTCAGACTTTTAATTTGAAAAATAATTTTTGAAAAGATAACCTTAAGTTTTTGATTGTAAAACTATTTTGGGGATTAAATCAATCTTCTATATCTCAAAAAATTACAAAGTTATTGAAATACGTACTTCCAGTGGCCTAATTCTGCAAGACTTGACCTTTGTCAATGTGGGAAATCCCGACTACTTGCCCAACAACAAAGATATGTTGAATTTTGCGAAGCGATGGCAGCAATACGCGATTCTGGACAGTGTGGATCGCCTGACCCGCTGGTAAGACAGTTTGTGATAAGAATTGTTTATTTGCGTTCTTTGAACACACGTGGAAAGGACGTTTCGAGCCGTTTAAAGGGCGATCGAAATGGAAATAGTTACAAAATACGTACTTTTTGGGTTTTAATAAGTTTGAAGGTGAATATAGGAGCCGTAAGGAAGGTTTTCAGATATTGGTTTTGAAGGTTTATAATGTTTATACTTTTAAAGTGAAATTTTTGTTAAAGATTTAGAGTACGAAGCTTTAAAGTGAGTAAAAAGGAATGTCGAAACTTGTTTTCAGCTATATTTTAAGCTTTTTATAAAAATATCCGGGCCACGCGAAATAATTTTCGCCAAAAAAGTTTATGCATCAGGCCGGGCTAACGATTGTTTTGGGATGGTTTTAATATATTATAGTAAGAATACGTCTTTTTCCTGATAAAACCTTTAATAAACTTGAAAAGGCTTCAAAATAAGGGACTGTATAAATAAGTTTTAGTAAGATTTAGTTTAAAATTGGTTTTTTTTTGGGATTTTGGATAAAAGTAAAGGAGAAGATGGTTTATAAGCTCTTTTTTGGAAAGATGAAAGTGAATTTGAAATTTTTGATATTATAATTTTAAAGCGCATTTATTAAGCTTTAAAATGAGGTATTATATAAGAGATTACATTTGGTAGCTTCTGAGTTATTCACTGTTAAAGTTGTTGTACCTTATGATGTAAGGACGACAATTTGTTTAGTTAAAATTTGTCGTCAACATTAAAAAGCTTTATAGCAATTCAAAAACTAGATATAAACTTTTTTTGAACCAAATCTTGACGCAATCTGGCCCAAATTGCAGGCGCTACGACATCAAACCCGACCATGACATTCTGGCGCTGTTCGCCGACTTTAACGAACAATTAGACGACGAAGGCTGGACTAGATCATATGCAATCAAACGACGGGACTGACCTTTCTCCGCTTTAACTGATAGCCTCTTTCCCATTTTATCGCGAAATAAATATTCGAGTGTTCTTCAGATCATTATCAGACTCCAACCAGAACCATTGTTGTATTAATACACATTTGAGTATTGTGATATTGTTGTGTTTCTTGTGGGAGTTTGAGTGGTTTTTAGGGAGTTTTAGGGGAAAGGGTGATTTTGTAAAGTTTTTAATTTTTAGGGATTTATAGTGTTGTTAATGACATTAGGAGTATGTTGGCTAAGTAATAAGGCTTTAATAGTAATACAAAAAGAAGTTTTGTATGAAGTTATAGTTTTAAAAAAATTATGTTTCGTGCCGTATAATCTCAAGTTTATACATTTGAGTAAAATGTCGAGAAATGATGACAATAGTTGATATATATGGAACATAAATATATATTTAAATTGTTAGAGAATGAGCTACGACAATCTGAAAAAGTCGATTGAATTCAATGGCAAGCAGTACAGTTACTACTCGTTGAAGGACTTGAATGATCCCAGATATGGTAAGTAGGCATATGAGGTTTTTGTTAGTAATGTTGGCATAGTTATATAAAGGAAAGAGATTTGTTTGAGGACTAAAATTAGTTTTTTATCATTGTAAAATACGGGAGATTGATTTTTGGTAATTTTTAGAAAAACTGCCAATTTCGATCAAATACCTGTTGGAAGCGGCTGTAAGGTGTTGTGACGGATTCCATGTGAACCAATCTGATGTTGAAACAATCTTGGATTGGGAACACAGCCAAAAGAATGGCGTTGAGATCCCATTCAGACCAGCTCGGGTTCTTCTACAGGATTTTACGTAAGGTTTTCTTGAAAAAATACATATTATTGATAGGTGTAAAGCAATTTTTAGGTAGTAATAGTAAAAACAGTTATTTTAAAAATTGTACCAAAAAAAATTTGGTCATGGTAAAATTTTTTTGAAGGTGGATTAAATTTTTTTTTGAAGATGGGGTTAAAAATGAAATTTTAAGTTTAAAAAAGTATATGTTCAGTGGAGTACCAGCTGTGGTTGATCTAGCTGCCATGAGAGATGCTGTGAAGGATTTGGGAGGAAATCCAGAAGTTATCAACCCAATCTGCCCAGTCGATTTGGTTATCGACCATTCTGTTCAGGTCGATAGTTATGGAAAGTAAGTCATTTTTAATATTACTTGGAACTGTCTATGTTTCAAATAGTTTGAGGATTTAAACTTAAAAAATTTTGAACTTTTAAAATACAATCTACTTTTAAAATTGTAAAAAAAATATTTTAGCCTAGAAGCCCTGAAGAAGAACCAAGACATGGAATTCGAGCGTAACAAGGAGCGTTTCAACTTCTTGAAATGGGGAGCTAATGCCTTCAGAAACTTTAGAATCGTTCCTCCTGGCTCTGGTATTGTACATCAAGTAAACTTGGAGTACTTGAGTCATACTGTTTTCTTCGACGATGAGAATAACCTGTTGTACCCTGACTCTGTTGTTGGAACCGATTCTCACACGGTAAGGCGGTTTGGAAAGAAAGTTTTTGCGTTTTTAAGGTTTGGAAAGAAAGTTTTTGTCGTTCTTTGTGTTGGAAAGAACGTTTTTGCTATTGTTCCTCCTTGAACAAAATTTATTATTTTTCTTGGCTGTAAACAAAGTTATTGCTATTTTCAGACCATGATTGATGGATCAGGAGTCTTAGGCTGGGGCGTGGGTGGAATCGAAGCCGAAGCCGTAATGTTGGGCCAAGCCATCTCCATGGTCATTCCACAAGTTGTTGGATACAAATTGACCGGTCGGTTACCAGACACTGCCACTAGTACCGACTTGGTACTCACGATAACTCAGAATTTGCGAAAACTTGGAGTGGTCGGTAAATTTGTCGAATTCTTCGGTCCAGGTGTATCCTCGCTGAGCATTGCTGACCGTGCCACAATTGGCAACATGTGTCCGGAATACGGTGCTACAGTAGGATTCTTCCCGGTCGATAAGAGGACGGTACAATACTTGAGTCAAACTGGTCGAGACCCGGAAAGACTGAAGGTTTTGGAGGAGTATTTGAAGTTGACTGGTCTCTATGTTAACTTTGAGGATCAAGGGTTCAGTCCTAACTATACTGAGGTAATTTTTTATTTCTAGGTAACAATTTTTGTTACAGTATGTGTTTTGCGACATTAAAATTATTTTTTTTGGGCTAAATATTAAGGTTAAACTTTTAAAAGTCATCAATATTGTTATAGGTAATCGAGCTCGACCTCTCAACAATTACTCCATGCCTCTCAGGACCAAAAAGACCACATGATCGTGTAGCTCTAACCACACTAAAACAAGACTTTGTCAATGGACTAACCGAGAAAGTGTCATTCAAAGGATTTGGACTGGCGAAGGAAGCTGTTTCTAAGTCGGTTACTGTAACATTAAACGGTGAAAATCACGAAATTCGTCACGGTAGCGTAGTTATCAGTGCCATTACTTCTTGCACCAACACTTCCAATCCTTCCGTTATGCTGGGAGCAGGATTACTGGCTCGGAATGCGGTGAAACTTGGTCTGAAAGTCCCTGGATACGTGAAAACTTCGCTGAGTCCAGGCAGTGGAGTGGTAACAAAATACCTTCAAGACAGTAACCTACTACAATATCTGGAGCAGTTAGGATATTACATTGCTGGATATGGCTGTATGACATGCATTGGCAACTCAGGACCATTACAAGATGAATTGGCACAAGCCATCGATGGCAACGATCTTGTAGTAGCCGGCGTTTTGAGTGGAAACAGAAACTTTGAAGGTAGAATCCACCCTAATGTCAGAGCCAACTATCTGGCTAGTCCACCGCTAGTAGTGGCTTATGGTCTGGCGGGTCGAGTGGATATTGATTTTGAAACAGAACCATTGGGACAAGGCAAGAATGGTCCAGTTTTCTTAAGAGACGTCTGGCCAAGTCATGCTGAAGTGGCAGAATTTGAAGAGAATTATGTTAAACCACAGTTCTTCAAGGAGGTTTATGTTAATATCCAAAAGGGAAGTGAACAATGGCAAGCTTTAACTTGTGCCAAGACTTCTTTGTACCCATGGGATGAGAAGTCAACCTATATTAAGAAGGTTCCGTTCTTTGATGGCATGGTAAGGGGTTTTTATATATTTTTTTTTATTTCGAAGATGTTATGAATCCTTAAACTTCAATAGCCTTTTCCAGACCGTCGCTCTCCCCCCCCAAAACAGGAAATTCAAAAAGCCCATGCCCTTCTGAACCTTGGTGACTCAGTAACCACCGACCATATCTCTCCAGCTGGTGCTATTTCCCGTATCAGCCCAGCAGCTAAATATTTGTCTGCCAGGGGCATTCAACCAAGAGAATTCAACACATATGGAGCTAGAAGAGGTCACGATGAAGTCATGAGTCGAGGAACTTTTGCCAACATCAGATTGGTCAACAAATTGGTCTCAAAGGTTGGACCACAGACCTTACACATTCCATCGGAGCAGGTTTTGGATGTGTTTGATGCTGCTATGAAGTATAAGGAGGAAGGTAGGTTATATGTTTTGGTTGGGAGAGGGATTGCGGGGTGATTGCAAATCAAAATGATTACAAATCTTTTCCAGGCCAACCAATCATCATCTTAGCCGGCCGTGAGTACGGCAGTGGATCATCGCGTGATTGGGCCGCTAAAGGCCCTCTACTTCAAGGCGTTCGCGCAGTCATTGCCGAATCTTTTGAACGAATTCATCGCTCAAATTTGGTCGGAATGGGTATTATCCCACTTCAATTTCTGGACGGACAAAACGCAGACAATTTGAAACTGACCGGAAAAGAAAAGTTCACCATTGACCTACCAGACACTGTTAAGTCAGGAGATGTGGTCAAGGTTCATGTCGAAGGAGGTAATGGATTTGAAGCCAAGTTCAGAGTCGATACTGATGTGGAGTTGACTTATGTTAAACATGGAGGTATTCTACAGTACATGATCAGAAAGTTGTCGGCTTAAATTGAATTTTAAAATTTTATGGTCAGCACCCTTGCCATTTTATCAGGAATTTTTGTTGTTTTGTAATTGACATATCATTGTATGTTGTAACTAAATGTGGTAATAAATAGTTTTGTGTCATTTCGAAGTATTTTTTTGAGTTTGAAAGATGAAAATTAGGCTTGGAGGTGTGTTTTTTTACCTTAGTCTTTAGGCCATAGTCTCCCACCCAACTCTGCAAATGATACTTATAAAATCCCACATCAATACTCCCTCATGACACCTCAACAATAAGTACTACTATATAACCTATATAAACCATTATCTAAAACAGACTACGAATCGGAATGTCTACCACCATGTGTAATGTTTACAGCGGAAGAAATGCGACAAAAGTCTTCCCTCGGGAGAGAATTATTCTAATTATTTGTTAACATAAAAATAGCCGTTTCCTTGACGACTATCTTCGCTCATTTTTCTATAGGTAGTGCTTGACATAGCAGACCATTTTGGCAATGATGTGGTATTGTTTTTGAGAGGTAAATGGGTATGGTTGTTTTGGTTTGAAAAGGAATGGCAGGTGTTTGAAAGCTAGGGGGAAGGAGAAGAGGGGGGGGGGAAGGGGAGGGGCGGAAGGTAGGTACTGTTGTAAAGTCCAACATATTTTTTTGTAAGTTGTAAAATACGATTAAACGTAGAAATTTGTTTATAGTGCAGTATCCGAAAAAAGTATCTTTGCCCAATAAAATTTTTCTTATAAGTTTAAAACGCTCATTTTAACATCAAAAAAGGTAAAGTACGTCATGGTCACAGTTTTTTTTAAATAAAAAAAACGTTAAAGTTTACTAATAATCTGTAGTGTTGGCTGGCGGTTTAAAATTTGTTTAATATGCAGGAGCATTACTGTGTTATATTTATTTTATTGTTCGTTTACTTTTTTCATATTATACACTCTTTCAACTCATGTAGGGTTTTTTTACCATTTAGGTCGTCCAGTATATACTCGTAGTGTGAAGTCTTTTACGACGAATCGCTGAGGTATTCTAACTTTTTTAAAGGAGTTTCATTATATTAGGTCAAACCAAAAGTAGCAGGACACTTTTACTTTGTTTTTCAACTAAAAAGTTCCCGCTACTTTTGGCTCAACCTAATACAGTGATTGTAGATACACAGTGTAGTGTTGGCTAGAGGTTTAAAATTTGTTTACTATCCAAAAGTTTTGTCTTAAAGGTGTTCGTTATATAAGAGCTCCACTGTATTTTTAAATAATATTATACAATTTTCTGAGACAGTAAAAAATTTTTTGTTTAAAAATAAAAATAATGATATTATACTACACTATAGCATCATCTCTCGTATTATGATAGTAAAAAATCATTGTTTGTTACTTTTTTGCATTTACATTAGTCAAGAAGATTTCAATTACAATGCATTCAAAATGAAGCTATTGTTCTACATATGTTTTATTCAATTTTTGTTTAAAATCTAATTTTTTTGGGTCTAACTGTCTAGAATTCATATGTTGTTCACCATACATTAATATTTGCTTGAGTCTATGTGAGCAAAAAGTAACGTAATAGAAACAAAACAATAATTAGACTTCTTTTTATAATAGAGTAATGACTTTTTTAAATTGCTTTAGGTACACGGGCTTTGGTTAATAATATTCTATGCTTTTTATGGTCACCTACTCTTATTGGCATGGTTCTATAATAATAAATAGTATACTTTGTACTAAGGCTTGGCTCGGCCCTTTTACAAATTAGGTGTGGCAGGGCTGTATCGAACAGAGTTAAGGAGCAAGTAGTGAAGGTTAGGACCGATTCGCAAAATTTCTTTTTTTCAAGTCGGTTTACGCCAAAAATCTTTAAATGCTAATATTAGGTGCTGACATAAAGAACCCGTCATACTTTTTCTGTCATTCCCATTAAAAAATGGCGGGTTCTTTATGTCAGCCCCATAGTAATCATAAACTTTACTATATATAATTTTCTATTATATCATCACTCTATTATACCACATAACAGTAGTTGTTCACCTTATGAAAGCTTTTTTTTGAAAGAAAATAATATAGTAGCTGATAATGGATTCAATAATGTTAATAGTAGAAACATAATAAAAATCACTTAAGGATGGACGCGTTTTAGTTCATGTCTAATTCCACCCATCAATCCGCTAAACAAACATTTTGTTTCGTTTTATTCTTTGTCCAAAAATGCGCCGATCGAAGAGGGGACGTGTAACTTTTTTGGGAAAGGCTTTGATGGTTAATATTATAATTTGTCTGTTATCATTATTTGCTTAAAATTTGAGTGAATTAAAAATGGAACGAAAAATTAAACATACATTTGCTTATAAGTTCATTAAATCTGTAAATAATGGTACAGTGGAACTCATGTATTGAGAGGCAGGTGATTTTTTTCTAGTAAGGGCTTGGGCGTAAAGAAGAAACATGTTTCTTTTTAATATATTATTTTTGACTTTAAATAGACATGAGAAACAGGCCGAACCCAATTTTCAGTTCCGGTCCGATAAAAAGTTTGCCCAAGCTCAGCCCGGCTCGGCCCAAATTTTTTTACGTGAAGACGGGCCGGGGCGGGCCGTTCTTCATGTATAAATAAAGTAAATTTATTACTTTTATTAGTCCAGACAACTTTTTTAGCACACTAATTGATAGTAAAGATTTATTTGAAAGCAATATTTTTAAAAAATATTCTTACACAAGGTAGCTGATCTGTGATTTATTTTTCTTGAAAATTTTTGTTTGGATAGATTGTAATCAACGTTCTATTAGATAAACAAGGGAGGTAACAAACTTGTAGTTTTTGTAGCAGATAAAAACTCTAAATTACGAAAAATTTATTGTTTTTTGAAAATTTTTAATTTTTTTTAACTAGGGCGATTGAGGTATTCAAATAAAAATTCTTATACTGATTTAAAACCTTATGAATGCTTTAACGCCATATTTTAAAATAAATTTTTTCTCTTATAAACTTTTAAACTTGTCACAGAAATTCTGATATCAATGTTTGAAATGTTTAAAATTTGTAAACAAATCATATCGCTTTGGCCGTTATGATTATTGTTTAATAATTGTATGAATCATTGGCTCCATTAGTGTTTTAACACGCGTTACAAAACTACAGAATGATTATTCAAAATTGTTTCGATTAGTTTTGTCTCGAAATATTTGGTCAAGTGCTTAAAATTGCATGATTGATTACCAATAGTTATTGTGGTGGAATGCTGAAATTTTTTAATTACAGTGTTTAAAGGCTTTTGTGCTGATTTTTAATTGTTCTTGGGGCAGTATAATATAATTTTTTTTGATTTTTTTAGTTATTGATTTAAAAGTTATTTGTTATACAGGATGTATGTTATACCTAAGTTCGTTATACAAAATTGTACAGTAACTTTTATGTAATATTTCGTATATACATGCTTCGTCGTATTTTACACAAAATTATTGCTTTACGCTTATTAAAATATCGGAAACTTATGTCTTTAGCCTTCAAAATTCATCTATACCTAAAGCTCCCTTATGAAGAACAAATCTTAAGCCCCCGAGCGATTCGTTATCCAAGAATTCCCCTGTATTATGGTCAATATCTCGATATCAGCGGCCGAAATCAGTCTAGACCGGGAAGACAAAAAGACAAATCAATTACTGTTCCAAATGTTTATGAATATTCAGCTGAAGTGGGAGAAATCTGAATCGAAAAAAAAGCATTAAAAAAAGAGCGACAGTCAAGGTTTCCTTCGCTTAAAATTGGCGCGCCTTTTGGAACACATCCACCGCCACCTTCAGCCGTTCTTTTAATTTGTTTCGGCTGTCTGGTGGAGTTTTTTTTTGAGGGGGGGGGGAGGGGGGGGGGAAGGGGAGTGGATATTGAGCAGGGTAAGGAATATTTAAATTTTTTATGGAATGAAGGGTAGCTAAGGGGAGGGGGGGGGGTAAAATGAAGACTGGGTGTTACATTTTCAATTTTTTTGAGACCAGCTAACAAAACTTGTGACACAGTGGAACTCCTGTACAACAAACTCCTCTATAACAAAAATCCTGTATAGCGAACTACTTTTGAATCCCCGTCTACCACTGTACAGAGCATTTAAAACAAAACTCCTCTATAACGAAAAAACTTCAATTCCCCGAGCGATTCTTTATACGGGAGTTCCACTGTATATAATACCTCTAAAATAGAAGAAAACGTGATTTTTTAGCCAAGGTTTTCAAAACAAAAGTAGAATTCAATTTTCTGAAGTTTTTTGAAATTTTAACTCTTGCAAGAGCTCTTGTAAAATATGAATTTCCAAAAGTATGATAATAGTATAATTACCAATTTTCTCCAAAAACGCTTTAAATTCGAGAACTTTTTAAGTTGTTTTTTGGCCAAAGCTTTTAAAAGTATTACTTTAGAATGATGCACTTTGGGAACGTGCAATATATAGAATTTTCTTTTGCACGTCATAACTTAGAACACTGTCTTCTTTAATCTGATTAGACTTTTTTGAGCTTATTTTACAAAAGGTTTAGGGCTTGGGAAGCTGAAATATGAATTTTTAAAATTTAATTTTTATTTTGTGAAATAGTCCTTTTTGTCAAAAAAATCATTTAGCTTTGAGAGTCTGACTTATACCAGAAATGGGTGCCCACTAGGCATGGCTTCTTTACAGGTTTAGTTATACGAAGTCCGAGTTAAAAAATAGGGTCACTCTCAGGCTAGGTCTAGGTCGAATGTCAAAAATTAGTTTATGTTTCAGACACCCCCTCCTTCCCCCCCTACCTACCCCTATCAAGACCTATTCTCATTTCCTTGTCCTATTAGAAAGTCCACTACTATTAGATTGTTACAACCGCTGACAGCTCGCAATGAATGGGGTTTTAAATTCAGCGCGAAAGGTCACCGCACTTTTGTTCATTTCCTTAACCCTTGGCCACAAATTCTTTTATATTAGCCAAAAGCTTTTTTAGTTTGTTTTCTATGCGGGAATTGGGTTTCAATACGTTATAGTACATATTATAGTAAACGCGGCAAATAAACCGGAAAAGGAAACATTTTTTTGTTATTCTTGTTTTCATTGGGGGGGGGGAGATAGATATTTATAGGTGATGTTTCAGATTTGCACAGTTATGGGTAAGGTGTTTATGAAAAAGTGTTCAATTTTTAGTGTGAGAGTGTAAACCCTAGTATGTAAGACTGAGTGGGCAATTTTGTTTGGGGGAGAGGGTAGTTAGAGGGTGCGCAGAAAGTTCTGTTACACGGTTTTTTAATCACATTTTTATTTTAACGACAAATATAACTAAAACAACAACTAACAATGGTAACATATTGACTAGTTATAACATAGTCAAAGCAGAAAGTACAGTCAGATCACGTAGATCGTCACACTGACAAGGAATTGTGAGTATTTTTTCTAATTTGACCGTGTAAACGAACATTTTTTACTCGCCTTTTATTTGTCTATTATACTAGTAGTACTTGAACTCTTTCGCGATTTTTCAATTCTATTGACCTAGTTTTTTGAATAAGTTTTAAAAATACAAAAACCGAACGCCTTGAGTGTGTTTTTCATCTTACACTTACTTTGATCTCATTTTAAACGCGATAGTTATTGAAAAACGAAGATTTTCTATTCTGTTTTATCTTCTACTTCAGTACAGTGCAACTACTGTATAACGAATCGCTCCGGGATTTAAAATTTTTTTTGTTATAAAGGAGTTTTGTTATACAGGAGTTTTAAACGCACTGTGTAGTAGTAGACGGGGATTTAAAAGTTGTTTTGTTATACAGAAATTTTGTTATAGCGGAGTTTGGTATACAGGAGTTCCACTGTATAACAATTACGTTTGAAATTTCCGATTAACACTACACGGCGCAATTTAAAACTTCTGTATAAAAAACTCTATTATAAAAAACAAATTTAAAAGGCCTGAGCAATTTGTTATAGTAAAAGAGTTTTAGTGCAATGCACAGTTCTAAAAACGTTTTAATTTTTAACTAAACTCTCTATAAAGTAATTATTTTTAAATTTATTCTATCAAAAAAAAGCCAAAAACGCTTATTTTTTGTACTTTAAAAGCTCCGACCATAAAAAACTTTTAAGGAAAGATCTATTCCCAAGGTTTCCGAAAAAGAGCGAACTGGTACCAGTGCCTCTTAAAACCCACTTTTTTTCGTTTTTTTATTTCAAAATAACATTTTGTAAGATGTTTTTTGAACTGGTTGTCATAGGCGACTTACAACAAAAGTGCATTTAAAACTAATGTGCACATTGCTAGGTGTAACAACATTGTTCCAGCTGATGTTTGTTTTTGGTCGGCAAAATGTTTCACATTAGCTTCATTGTTTTTGAATTGTCTTATTATGAAAAACCCTCGAACTGAATTTGAGCGTTGTCTACCTTTTGAATCAGAGGGTTGGGTACCTTCTATAATATGTTAGTCGTATAACAACTTTATTTTTGTAATTTCTTTAGTGTGATTATGTATATTATAGACATAGCGTGTGTTTACTGTTGAAAAAAGCGTGATTAAACCGCATTCAGAAAGTAATTACAATAAAGTTGTTTTCTAGAACTTGTGGTATTGGAATTTGGCCACTTCCACCGGCCAAACATAGTGTTGCCGTCCATTTGCTACATATTTACTACGCTCAACTACAAGTATTTACTATATAAACAGGAATAACTACATTTTATAGTAAAGACTTGAATATCATTGATCTTGCTACAATAACTACACTTTTGGGTCTACTACAACAATATTTCTTTTTCGGGTTGACTACTATAAAATTAGATTTGTTTTATTATTTGGTACTACTAAGTTACAGTAAACTACTAATTATACTACGAAGCTACTGTTAAAGATTTTTTACCATTTTTTGTGCTTCACAGTCAATTTTTTATGTAAAATACGGTGTTTATAACTTTAATATATTTTATATATTTTCTATTAAATCTTAATCATGAAACCAAAAAACGTTTTACTTTCAACAATTTTTCTTCTACTACAACTACAGTATGCCTACAGCCAAAGCAATAATAACAAAACTTTAAAATTGGAGCAGATATTAAACAAGACAGAAGCGACAACAGAACGACCACATCTGTCTGTCATCAACTTCAACTTCCATCATGCCGAACTGCCATTGTTTTTATCAGCTGCTGCAGTTGGTATCATCATCTTCAAGTCTCTGTACTATGCTTTTCCTCATCTGAAGGGTATCATACCTGACTCGTCAATGATGCTGATAGCTGGTATTGTAGTCGGAGGCTGCTTACATTGGTTCTTTCCTGATAGGGTAGGTTGTTTTGCTTGATATTTGGTCTTTTGTACGTGTTGAGGCATAGAAGCACGTTAGAATTTGAAAAAAAGTTTTGTCGTCAATATGTATTAGTTTTGAACGTTGAAAAACGACAAGACTTTTTACCAGGTTATTCAAATCATTCTGTGCCTACTAACATAGAAAATTTTCTCTGAACAGAGCATGTAATTGTTTGAACAACTTACATTGGTATTTTTATTAATCTTAGATCGTTCACTTAATTCTGACCGCTTCTGTTAACCCATCTGGTTTTTTTACATCGTTAAAAATTACGGTTTTCTATGTAAAATACGGTTTTTGAACTCTAATAAACAAAAACTCAAAAGTTATTTTTCAGGAATTCCGTCTAGAACCCACCTGGTTCTTTTGGGGTATGTTACCCATGATTATCCTCGATGCTGGATATTTTGTGCCAACCAAAGACTTTGTAAATAATATTGGTGCTATCACATCGTTTGCTGTTTTTGGTACTCTCATGAATATTTTCTTGACTGGTGAGTTATTTTTTTTTATTTTTTGTTTGAAAAACACGTTTCGCAGCTGCAAAAAGCTGGGCGCAGTGCGCAGACTAAAAGTTAGGGTTTTTTAAAAGTTTATGGGGGAGTTTTTAATGTGATACTATAAAGTACGACTTAAAAAATCAAAATCTTTAATTTAGGTAACAAACATTTTTTAAAAATTCTATTTTGGAATTATTAAAAATATTATTGTAGGTACCTTACTTTACATAATAAATGGCTATTTCTCGCTGTTTGTAACGCCGATGAGCGTTACTGACATTCTGATATTCTCAACGTTGATCTCGGCCGTAGATCCGGTGGCAGTAATCAGTGTGTTCGAAGAGATACACGTCAATCGTCAGTTGTACATCTTGGTGTTCGGAGAGAGTTTGTTGAACGATGCCACTACTATTGTGAGTTTAATTGGGGCTAAATTTTGTAAAATTTGATAAAATGTTTTTTTTTGTTGTCTTATACTGAAAAAGAGGATTCATTACCTAAAATTGGATCGTTTTAGCGTTTTTATTGATAAGAAAGCGGTATTTTTAGGTAACAAATAGGTTTTGCCATTTTTAAGCAAGGAAATTTATTGGAATTGATGACAAGACTTTTTCGATGCATTTTAATACTAAAATAGAGCTTTTTTATTGATAAAACGATTTTAAAAACATAAAAATAGCAAAGAAACAATAAAAATATTAAAATTATAGGTATTTTACCACACATTCCAACAGTTCTCAACCATTGGAGCCGAGAACATAGTGCCAATGGACATTTTGAGATGTATTGCTTCATTTAGCATCGTATCTTTTGGTGGTATTTTAACTGGAATCATCTTTGGAGGTCTTACCGGGCTTTTAACAAAGTGAGTTTTATAAAAGTTGTTCTTTACCAAACAGTTTTATAGCTAAATACCACCATGTTACAGTTAATGCTAACTATAAAATATAAAGTTACAGTAAACATTAACTAAAACAAAAGCTTTTTCACTTTATCGTAGATTAATCAACCTCATTTTAGATTGACAAGGGATGTAGAGCTGTATCAGCCTCTGACCTGCCTCCTCTTACCTTATTTTGCGTATTCTGCAGCTGAAGCTGTTGGCGTTTCTGGAGTGTTGGCTTTGATGTTTTGTGGTTTGACAATGAAAAACTACTTAGCAGTCAATGTAAAAGACTCTTCCTTGGTATCTTTCAATTACATGCTCAAAACATTGTCTTCTTTGTAAGTTTAGTGATGTTTTATATTTTTAAAAGCTAGAAAAAACTAAACTTTGAATAGAAATTGGGGAAAAATATGATTTTTGAGTCGAAAAATATAAGAAAAGTTATTGTTTTAGGTAATAAAAATTAAAAAATATATTTTTGAGGTTTTTGATGTCATAAATTTATTTTATAGGCTCAAAATTTTAAAAACTATTAAATTTTTCCTTTTTCAGCTGTGAAACCATGATATTTGTAATGCTTGGAGTGTCAGCTGTGTCTCGAAACCATGTTTTTGATTTTTGGTTTATTATTGCCACTTTATTCGCTTGTTTCATCTTTAGATTCATTAGTAAGTCATTATTTTATTTATATAAAAGTGTGAAATATGCGTACCGTATTTTACAAAAAATTTAAAAAAAAACATAAAAATCGTATTTCACAAATACTCAAAAACTAATTTTAAATTTAAAATTTTTTTTAGCAATCTACTCAATGACATATTTTTTGAACAAAGCGAGAGAAGAAGCCATTTCTCTGGTGGACCAGTTTGTGATAGCATATGGTGGTATTAGAGGCGCTGTTTGTTATGGTTTAGTAGTAGCACTGGACAAAGATGTTGTTGGAGCTAGAGACATGTTTACTACAACTACTGTTTCTATTATTCTATTTACTTCACTTGTTCAGGTAAGATACCAAATTATATTATTTTCAAGCTTTTTGGTCGTGGTGCTACCGTGTTTGGTAGCTTATAGTATTGTACTGCTTTATAATTGATACCTTGGCTTTGTGCATTGTTAGTATAGTATGGTATTGTGCTGTTCTTATAAAAAATTGAAAGTACAACATCGTGCTTGAATTTCCATAATTAAACAAATCACTTTACAGGGCGGCACAGTGAAATGCCTGGTGAACAAACTGAAAGTGAAGCATGCAGAACCTGAAGAAGAAACAACTTTGTTTGAACTTGTTATGAATGAGGTTGGTTTCTTTATTAATAAATTTTTAAATATTTATTGAAATTTTGACGAAAATGTGGAATCAACCATATTTTAAGTTTCATAGATTTGTAAAGGTGCTGGGCTTAATTTTTTTAGTTTACATCAAGGCCGTTTTACACTTTTTTGCAAATAAGATCTTTGCTGCGGGAGCTGAGCTGGGCCTCTGAAATTTTTGACTCTTGGGTACATGTGTATCGGTTTGTTTCTGCCTATTTTCAACTTTCCTCGACTTGGCACATCTTGGGCCCTCGTTCAGGTCTTTTTCATGGGTTAAAGTAATTTTTTGGTTTTTTAGTTAAAATACGTTGTTTCGTTTTTCTTGAGGCAATTTTATATATGTTTTCGATTTTTAGACAGCTACAAACTTGATGGAAGGTATCAGTGCTATAGCATTCGTACAGCCCGAGAAAAAGGTAACCTTCGAACTTTTTTTTTATTTTCAACCTTTAAAATACGGTTTTTAATATCAATTCTACACGTTTCAAAAAGGCATATTGATACCACTATTTTTAACAAATATGTCACTAAAACCACCATTTTCAGTACAAAGTTTACTGGCGTCGAGTCTCCAGCTTCTTGAACCGCCACTTAATGGTGGATGGTCAAGAATACAATAGTAAATGTCGCAAAATAGTGGCACATTCTCAACAAATAATGATTTCTGAAGCTGTGTCTCAGATCAAGAAGTTTGGATCGTATCGATTACTACCATCGTATCCTTCGATGAACACTATGAATACATCGAAATCAGTACCAGCGAATATGAATGAACATGCTGAAGAGATGAATGATATCAGTTTGATGGTACCCCAACCTGAGAATATGGTACGGATCAAGCTGGATGATGTGGATGGTATGGGCGATAGGAAGAAGTCGTTGAGGACTATATTCAAGGGGGCTGTCGCTGAGATTCCTGAAGAGGTGAGGTTATAAAAGGTCATAAAAAGATTGAAAAAAATTATAAAATAGCAGTGATTGAATTGTCAAAAAACATTTTTTCTTTTTTTAGCTGGAAAGCAAATACAAATTGACGGCAAGATTTACATCACAATATTACTATGAATATTATAAAAAACTGTTTTTTTCATTGGTTTCTTAAGGTTATTATACCTAAAAATCAACAAAATTAAAAGAAAGAGCTAACTTATAACTTTAGAAGCCTCAAATGTACTCGCGTCACTTCATGCACGATCCACGTCACTTCCCTTATGATCGACCATTAACTCCGTTGTTTGAAAGTGAAGAAGATGAAGATCCAGATGGCTCTAAAAATTACCTAACCTTCCCTAATACAGAAAGAGACTTTTTCGAAATGAACACATTCAGTGTGCCATTAAGGAAAAGGCTGAACAGTGAGACTACCAGGCCTAGCATTCTGCCTGGACAGCGTATGTTTTTCTACTGTTTTCTACAGTACTTAACCCTATCTTATTTACTCTAATCTGCCGTACCGTACCCTACAATACCCTACCCTATCTTACTCTACCATGCTCTACCCTACCCTACCCCACAATACCCTACTCTACCGTACCCTACTGTACCCTATCCTACCATATTTTACCCTACTCTATCTTACTTTACTATGCTTTATGATATGTTACCGTAACCTACCCTATCTTATCCTACTCTATCTAGACTTATTTTTTTTCAATTTCAGCTACCCGACCGAGATTTGAAGTAAAAATGGTCAGAAATCGTCAGGCGTCGAAGCGACGTCGTAACAGCTCAACCGGTCCGGATACGGAACGACTTATGATTAATGCTCAACCTGGTACTAGACACGACTCATTGAGACGAGGCTCTACTCCAGCCAGACATTTACATCCAACTGGTCATCGGCCGAAGGTCAAGTTTGCGATTGAGGGGGATTCACCGTAATAGTAATACAAAACATTTTTTGAATAGTTTGGAAAAATATTTATATTGTAATTGGTCTAGTATTACCATGGTTTAATATTTAGTAACATTATGCTTTACTATAGTAAAATTGTCTCGTCTTCGGCAATCTTTCTGGCTATTGAAGTCAATTTTATATTGTTGTTAATACTAGTAGATATCAACATTTACAATCCACGGTTACGTGACAAAAGACATTTGTTTGCAATATAGTGCCTCAAAAACAGTATGGTACACAAATATATCAGCTTTAAGAATGTTATATATCAATAAGTTTTACAATTTGTAAACGTTTTAACACTCGGGTTTCAACGATCTGAACATGTATCTCATTATATAATAGTAATTTGCATTTTTAATAAATTTTTAACAAAATTTTAATGAAGGGGTTATTGTTAGTAGTAAAGTAAAAAAATTTAAAGTCAGACCTTTTTACTATGACACTCAATGGACAAGACGAAAGTGCCATTATAAGCAAGGTGTGACACAATCTGCGTAATTTTTGTTGTATTTCTGTTACAAACAGCGGTCAAAAAGATGTCATTATAAGCAGAGTATCATAGATACTATCGAGCTATTTTGCTTTGTGATAATACAATTCTAAAAATTTACAAATTACTAGGTAAGAAAGGCTTACAAGTTTAAAAACGTAAGAGTACTTAAATGTTTTCTGTTATTATGTATATCAAATGTATTATATTAGCTAATAAATTGCTATTTATAAACTTCCTTACAGTTCAAACTAAAGTTAGACTACACTTTATTCACATTGTAATTGTAAAAAACTTTACATTGTATTATTATTTTACATTGCGATACACAATATCTCAATTTATTTGTAACGAACTACAATTAATTTGCATTTTATTCATTACTGTTTATATTAACGTCACACTGTAAAATTTATGTTTTAAGAAGTATGAAACCTTATAACTTGTGTTTTGTAGCTACGCTAAAGAATAACTTCTAATTTACATTTTTGAACTTTTGAAAGTGAGTATTTTGTCTACGTTCAACGGAATTAAAGCACTTATTGTCAAAAAGTTAGCTGGTAATGACTGATACAAAATGGAACTCCAGGATTAAGAATCGCACGGGCTTTGAAAGTTCTTTTTTATTACGGAGAAGTTTTAATTGTACTGTGTATTGATAGTTATGAAGTTGAAAGTTCCTTGTTACACAGGATTTTTGTTATACAGAAGTTTTACTGTAGTTAAAGCTGCTTGTGCCATATTTTACAAAATTTTTCGCTTAAAGCTTGACCGTGAAAAATACGTGCACCTTTGGAACTTTTTCAATGCAACTTCTTTACCTTTTACTTGGCTTTGCTTAGTAATGACCAGGCTAATTGTTGGCTATCTAAAAAAATTTTTTTAAAGTACAGGAAAACCCTTGTATAACAAATCACTCGGGAATTTGAAGTTTGTTAGTTATAAAAGAGATTCGTTATACAAGAGTTTTAAATGCACTGTGCTGTGTTGGCTGGGCATTAATTTTCTCACTATACAGGAATTCCACTTCACGTACTTCCTTACTTAATACAATCTTAGAGTTAAACTCTTCTTTTTTTAATCTTTTTCTATTGCGTACTTCACTTTTTTTGCATATTTGTATCTGTTATGACATGTGAATCATTAAAGTGAAGCAAAGATGTAAAACAAGGAACTTACTTTTCTATTATAACAGACACACTTTTTCTTGTGTGCTTGACATTTTCAAGTCAATTTGTGTGTAATCCAAGTTTACAATTGGCACGAAAATGAGGAAATGTAATCTGAATGTTCTACTTACTTTTCAACACTATGTAATGTGTATTTTTACTGTATAACTTTACTTTTTGAAGGTATGAATTTTCTTTTACAACTGATATCATACAATAAACTAATTATTGTCAAAAACTAACTATACAAGTCAATTCTGCTTACATTGTACGTAGAAATGTAGTTTTTACAACTTGCTATTATGTATTATAATACATTATGTATATAGTTTTCTTCTGTTCCAATATCAGTTAAATTAAAAGTAGGAGGGTTCATAAAATTTAAAGTAAAGTTCATAACTTCATTTAAAATTAAATGTTATTCATAATGATGAATGTTGCATCTAATTGAATTTTGCCATACCTTGGTAACCGTTTTTTGGTAAATGTTTGTGAGAAAGTGTTTTTTGAAATTGTAGTTATGATGAACAGTAGACGTCGTAAAGGTGAGGTTGAAAAACGTGGGAAATCAGGCTGTGTTTCTTTCTGTGATAGTAGAAGGTGTTCGTTTCTCGAATAATATAAAGTTTTCCACATAATATAATATTAATATTGAATACGACAACATTATTTCGCAATAAACAAGAAATAAGATTAAGATTTAAAAAGGGCAAGGCAGGGCAAGGCAGGGCAAGGCAGGGCAGGGCAGGGCAGGGCAGGGCAGGGCAGGGCAGGGCAGGAGGGCAGGAGGGCAGGAGGGCAGGAGGGCAGGAGGGCAGGGCAGGGCAGGAGGGCAGGGCAGGAGGGCAGGGCAGGAGGGCAGGGCAGGAGGGCAGGGCAGGAAGGCAGGGCAGGGTTTTTGGAAGTTTATTAACGCTAATATTGCACTATTTTACAAAAATAGTTGTAACAATAAAAAGAGTTTCTTTTTAATAATAATATCGTATGCAGCTGAGAATTGTAAAAGATATCAATACATTTTCAAATATAGCTTTGTATTTTAAGAATTTAATATTCATATTTGTTATAAAAATGTTTTGTCATAAAAATTTTTAAATTAGGGTTCAAAAGAAAGTTGAGTTTGAAGTGGGATGGGGGAGGGGACAAATAAGAGAGTTTATGATTTAGAATTTATTTTTTTATCATATGGGTAGTATAAAGTTTTGGTACTTTAAAGAGTATAATATATATCTAATTGACTCACTAATAGTGTATTTATATGTAACAAAAATTATATTTCGACATATATGCTAGTAACTTTTTTATCTTATTTTAACTTTTTTATTTTTAAAAAACTTCTATCTATTTCTTCGCTTTAAATTGTGTAAATTAGTAGCTCGAATCCGACATGCCATAGTAACAAGTACATGTACGTTTCTTTTGGCTTTTAGAGTTCGAATTTCCTTAAGTGCTCGCTTACACGTTTTATAAATTAGTGGTGTAGATTATACACTGTATAACGTATCAATTTTCTTTTTAAAAAACGAAACGGTCCTTTTGATGTGAGATGTATGGTTTTAGGCATATTATAAGCAACAAATTTCTAAATGTTAGATTTAGGTGCTGCTTCGGAACCCGAGCTGTTTCAAAGGTGAGATCTTTGGTTATGGGCTTTTGTATACTTACTATACAGTTTAACTCTTGCATACTAAAACTACTGTAAAGGAAACAACTCTTAAGTTCTTGGCCAACACTACACAGTGCATTTAAACCTTCTGTGTAACAAAACTCCTGTATAACGAACAAATTTAAACACACTGAGCATATTTTTTTCAGAAGTTATACATATTTAGATTTTATATGTCGTTGAGGAATAAAATATATGACTATAGATGATCCTAATAGCTTTTTTGACATTTTATATTAATTTTTTAGTTTTTGAGTAATTCGCTGTCTTGATGTTCATGTCTGGAACGAAAACTAATTTTTAGATAAAGTTTTTATAATTTTTAGGTAAGAACTATACAGAGAGTCATCTATAACGAATAGCTAAGGGACTTTAAATTTGTTTGTTATCAATTAGTATACAATAGTTTTAAATGTACTGTATATTGTTAGTCGAGGATTCGATGTTTTTTATATATATTTTTTATGTTATAAGACAGTTTGTAAATACAGGAGTTCTACTGTGTTTTAACATATATTTTTTAGCTTGTTTTTTTTATTTTTTTAAATTTGTCTATTTATAACTGTTAAACCTAACTTGTTTTCAACTAAAACTCTTATTAAGTACAAATTATTCAACACAAACTTATTTTTAACATATTTTAAAACTACATATTTGCTTCGTTAAAAACCGATGTAATTTTATAAATATTGAACTTTTGACACGACATGCATTTTGTAAAAAACATTGCGTTTTTTTCACAATTTCAGTCTATTTACAAGTTTCAATTGGCTTACTTTGGTTGACAATTATGGCAAAACCTCACTAAGTCGTACGCGACCCTGTAATTACAGTCTGTAACCTTTAATTATGACAGTAGTCATAAGTACGAAAAAATTAGACCTTTCAACTGTGTAATCACAGTTTAGTTCGATTTGAGTATTTATGAAGTTAAATTGAGACTTCTGTATAACGAATGTCTCGGGGGTTAATTTGTTGTTTACTACAAGAAGAGTTGCTTATACAGATGGTCCATTATATGGAAACACCAATGTAGTATATCCACTATATTGAAATTTTGGTTAAAAGCTTCTCGCTTTGTATGGAGTTTTTGTTTTACACCAATTTTATTGATGTAAAACATGACTACCAATACGGGATCGACCTTTTCAAGTTTTTTAGGCTAAAACAATTAATGATATTGTGATTGCTTGATTTTTGACACAAAATGACAAGGCAAAAATTATTTTTTAAGACGTTTCGTGAGTCAAATTTTTTGAACATTATTTGTTATTTATTTAAAAAAATTATTTCTTTGAATAATTTGTTATGTTATAGGCTCAATGGAAGAATCGGTACGATGGGATGCTATGCAAACCTTTCATCCTGAGCTAGATGATTACATAAACAAATTTAAAGCTTTTCAACGTTGTGTTATGGTCTGCGCCTTTGGCTTGAATATATACTTTTTCATCCGGCTAGCTAAAGCTAAGCAAATTCATCAAAACTTCAGGATCGTACTCGTAAGTACTTACATTTTCTAGGTCTTAAAATATTTTTTTTAATTTTGTAAAATTTGTATTTTGTAGAAATGTTAGTTATGTTAACAGTAAGAGTTACTATCGTTTTGTATCAATACTATAAATCACTATACAGATTGTTTCCTCGTATGTTACTCAACTTTCTTTTGTAATAACATAACTTTAAATTTTAGTGCACAGCATCCACAGGCTTCCTTCTACTAGGCCCAACTCGTGAACTTGAGCACTACCTACTCGACGTAACATCGGATATTCAAAATCGAGCGATGGTCAATGTGTTGTGCATAACATTGAGTATATTACACATGCTTTCATTTTCGTCCAGCATGATGTGTATGAATCTGATTGCTGTAGAACAATATTTTGCAAAACGATGGGTAGATCATTACGAAAATTTAAAGAAATTTGGGTGGATATTACTTGTAATTGTGGTATGTTGTTATTATTTTTACAGCCGACAATATTAGTTTCGTATTTTACAATTTTTGAAATTTGAAATAAAAAAAATAATTTTTCGAGCCAAAAATGCCAAATTAAAACCATATACATATTCAGGCCATAAATAGCATACCATTTGGAGTGTTCAGTTGTGTTTACTTTTTGTACTATGACAATTTTTCATTATTGTCATCGTATCAAGGATGTATACCAACAGATTTACACAGTAAATTCGGTGTCATTGGATATGGATTCTGTGCACTTTCATGCAGTATTAGTGCTGCTGTAAGTCATTTTTCTTTTTTTTTGTTTTTTAGCTTATTTTTACTGTGGTAATTACAAAACATTAAAACCAAAGTTCAATAAAAACGTTTATGATAATTGCATGTATACATTTAAGATGTTATTATAATACTGGTCATAGATCTTATGACAATGTTTCACGTAGCAATTATAGTAATTTCATGTTAAAAGTGTTTCAAAAATCACGTATTACGCACGTATATGTTAGTAATTTTTATAACTCGTACTGTTAGTATACGTACTAGGAAACAGTAATTACTCTACATACTAGTAATATGTTGTATATCTTATACTAACCGGCATAAAAAAGAGATACGATTCGTATAAACATAAATGACATTACCATGCTTAAAGTAATACCCTACCCTAACCTTTCCCGACTAAGCCCTGTAAAGCCATGTATAAAATAAACCTTACCTTACGATGCTTTTTCAGGTAGTCTACATTCTAAAAGTCCAAAACCAAAGTCTGACAAAGAACCGATTGCAATTAAAAACTCTGAAAGCACGGTATCAACAAACAGTAAACACAGATTTAAATACATCTATAACACCATCGATGCTTGGCTTCATGATCATTAGTATAGCCGGACTATGTTTGGGTATATACGAAATAAAGATAGCTTACATGTACGGAGAGAATACTACGGAGAAGATGTTTGTTTCTGATGTAAGCAGAGTTTGTTTTATTACGATATATATAGTAAATGTGTTTTCTTGTGATAGTACAGTAACTTCTAGCTCAAACACTGTTTATATTAAACACACTAACTTTACATAGTACCCCTAACCCTTAACATAGTAATAAAAAACATTTTTAAGTTAGGCTACGCCCTGATCGACTACTACGGAATCTACCATATCTTGTGCTTTCTATGGTGCAATAAAACCATGAAGACGATAGTAAAAGCTGACATACGACGCTTTTGTTGTATGTCTAATAAAACAAACGTACCGGGTGAAAACTATATTCAAGCGAATTGTTTGGATGCTCAAACTGAAACTGTCATCTACTTCGAACAACTCCAAAACTCGTGGAGTAAATAGGGGCTTTACTTTTTTGAGGTGAACATATATATAGGCAGTATATGTGGTCTTTTACATGATCAATTGGTCTTAGTATAGTACCAAAATAACTAATCATTTTATACGAGTACTGCTGCTCTTTCATTCTATATTACCATTATTTTATGTATATTAATATTGTCAAACTACAATTTCCAACTTCATCATAATGAATATTCATTTATTATTCGAATAAATGTAAAAATTCCCGTTTAGTAAGTTGAGTTGTCGGTTTTACAAGTAAAATGCAAAGAGTTAGTAATGCCAGAGGGACGAGTTAATACGAACAATGACTAGAACAAACGGAATCTCGAGAGGGGGACTGTAAGGGTAAGTTAACTATTGTTACAGTAAGAGTAGATTAATTACTGTAAAAATAAGAGTAAATCCATTACTGTAACAATAAGAGCAGATTAATTACTGTCATAATAAAAAAATTACTGCAGCAGTAAGAGTAGAGTCATTACTATAAATTGTAAGCAAACGTAAGATAAAAAAATACAGTAAGGTAGAAAAAAGTTACAGTAAAACTAAAGAAAACAAGAAAAAAACATTGAGAAGACAAAAATACGGTAGAACAGGAAGAAAAACTTTAGTAAAAATATTATTCAGTATATTACGACTTGACTAACAGCAATTATTAATACAATCATATTATAGTAGACAAACGTACAATAATATTTAAAAAAAAACAAAAAAATATCAATCAAAGACCTTTGAATATGACATTCTGTATATCACAGAATATAAAGGTAAATACTCCAAAATTATCCAAAAAAAGACTTTTTGTAAAAAACCTAATTTTTGATATCAAGTCCCGTAAAAATCATCAACTTCATCTACATAAATTAACGTAAATGTATGTTATACAAAAAAAGAATGTACTATAACATACACTGTAAAAAGAATGTTAATTGTACTATTATGGCGTTTAAAATCAAAAAATCCGGCTTAAAATCAAATTTCAAAATTTAAAAAATGAGAAAAATGATAACAATAAGAATACAACAAAATCAAAGCTTTTGACCAAAATGCCATTTTATAATCAGTCATACATCTTGTAGTACCACATAGTACTGTACTACAATAACATATTGTAGTATCAAATAGTAAAGTACTACATTTAACTTTCACAATCAGTCAAACTTCTCCCAAGTCGAAGGTACGGTTGGCGTAGGAGTCTGTAGCGTTGCAAACGAATTCTGCATGAATGGATTCAAATTCAGCGGTGGTGGCATCGACTTAGGTGGAGGTGGAGCTACAGAGAACGGTAGTGGGCTGTGGTTCACAAACGGTGTTGATGACGTTGAGGATGGTGAAGCTGAAGCCGAGGCTCTGAACGAATTTCCCGATGAATTCATCGATGAGTTTGTGATGGAATTAGTTGTTGAGTTCGTCGGTCTTGATCTTATTGTTGTTTTGAGTGGGTCAAACAGATCCAGTTCGTTTAGTTCTTCTTCCGAGCCTTTCGCCAAGTCTATGGCCGAGTCGTTCTTGCTGTTGTGACTTGACATGGTGTTGTTCATGAAGGGGTTGCTGTTGTTGTAGGATATAATAGTTTTTGTTCCATTTAAACTCGATCTTCCACTGAATATCTCGCTCAATTCGTTGCTTTCATTGACCGAAGTACCAGCTATGCCATTCTGAGCCTTAGTCCCAATACCAATGTTAGAACTTCCAGAACTCGATGCTAAGCCTACGGTGTCTATAGCAGATGCTACAGTTGTCATTTTCGATCCACCAGCACTCATACTCAGTCCAACATTATCCATATTCGAGCTGATTGGTGCACTTTTACTGAGTTGATCTTCAGAAGCTTCGGTGAAATCGATCAGATTCAGAGATTCTTCTGAATTCGGGGATTCTGCTTCGTTCGAGGAATCTGAATTTGGTTGGAATTGGAAAGCTGAAGCGTCAACTGATAATGGGTCCAATTTGGGTTTGTTCTTCGATGTTTTTCGACCGTTTTTCGGAGTTAATCGACCAAACTTGTTCCTGATCGACATGGACTGGACCTTTCCTTTCAGCGCTCCAATCACATCCGACGCATTGTCTTTGACCTGAAATACTGTTTGTTAATAAAGTCAACGTAGCTGAATTATAAAAATGTCTAAAATTATTGAATTTAGGTAACAAAAAACATTTTAAGCATTTAAAAAAATATATTTAAATTTAACTTGGTCTTTCAAAGCTTAAAAACAACAAAAAAATTATTTTTCCGCTTAAAACTTGTTGATGAAAAAGAATGGCTATTGAAACAAATTCTAATCCTCAACAAAAGTGCACGCCATTCTTTTTGCATCATAAATAAAATCAATTTTTAGTACTATAAAAGCAAAGCATAGATAAAAGCTATGACAATATAACAAATGGCCAAACTTACATTGGAAACAGCGTTTTGAAACCCTTCTGGCACGTTACTTTGCAGAATCTGCAAGTTAGTCAATAAGCAACTGATAAGCGATAGATTATATAAACAAAAGAAAAATAAAAATTAGCATATACAGTGAAACTCCTGTATAACAGACTCTTCTATTACAAAATTTTCGTATAACGAAACTACACAGTGCATTTAAAGCTCCTCTATACCGAAACTCCTTCATAATAAACGCATTTTGAATCCCCAGGCGATTCGTTACACAGAAGTTTCACTGTAATTCAGTAAATCACATTAAATTCAGATTCAAATACCCTATAACTTACGTTAGAACTAAATTCCTTTCGATCAAATCGTTGGATTTCAGCTTCAAATTCGTCGAACGTTGTTTGGCCAGAATTGGCCAGCTTCAAACGTTCTGTTACAAACCCGTCAAAGAATTGACATCCATTTTCGATGATCATCTGACGCAGAAATGGCTGTAGACTTGATCGGTTTTCTTTCACAAACTTCTCTGAGTCCCATACGAAGGCTAAAGTACGAAAATCTTAATTTCAAAAATTAAAATCTTTAAAAAATCGAAAATTCACAAAAATCATTTTTTTTTCAAAAAAAACTTTATCACAATATAAACCTACCTTTAGTCTCGGGATCCCTCTTGAATCCCAGTCTATACTTTCCAAACAAAATGGCATTTGCTCTCAGAAACGTTCTTGAAAACGAATCTGATGTGAACATTTGTGAAGTGAGCTTCAGATTGTGCTTCAGAAAATTGTGAACTTCTGATGGTAATTGATCTTTAAAAGGTGTTCTTATCGACTTTTGGTCCAGATCTGCTACTACAACTTCATCTAAACAAACATCACGTGCTGAATCCAGTACGACCTTCGGTACTCCCATAATGTAGGGCAGTGGGGCACTAAAATACAATATTTTTAAAGTTTTTAAAAATTCTTTAAAAATTTTTTAATTTATAAAATTTATTAAAAACGACAATTTCTTAACATTTTATTACCTAAATCTTCAAAGAATCAGCAAAAATAACTTTAAAAACCAATTTTTCACAAACTTTGTTACCTAAAATACTAAAAAATCATAAATAACAACTTTTTTTCATTTTAGACAAAAACACAATTAAAAAATATGAAAAACTCTTTTATTATCAATATAAACCTACCCCAACATAGTGCCAAGATGTTTTGGCACAATCGGCGAAAACAGACATTGCCAACTGAATGGCCACAGCAATTTAGACAAAGCAAAGCAAATTGACGTGAGTTGGCCCAACTTCTTTCCTGTTATCACAATATGTCGTTCCATTAACACACTGAAAACAAATTTCACTATATGAACTTTGTTATTTACTAAAACATAACTTTAGTTTTACTGTATTATCTTAGCTACCAACTACAACATAGATTTTATGACTTTTTTGCATTTGTGCTTATAATTTAAAAAAACAGTGTAAAATACGACATAGTTCATACTCTATGCAAAATTTTTGATAAAAATCAAGCTATTAAAAAGTTGAGTCTCCTACAGTAACAATACTTTACCTACAATAACATTATCTTACCTAGTATACAGTGTAATCATCTGCTTCTCTGACAGAATATTGTAGAATTCCAACATCAACTTGTCATCGTTTAACGAAGCCAATGCTTTGATGTCCGGAATTGGATGTCGAAAATGCCATTGAGGTTTGCACTCCACCAATTCCAACATCTGATGTGGACCTGGGACATAAATATGATAAGCATTAGCTAGGACTAGCTCGAGGTCTTCTGGCTGAAAATATAGACTTCTTAAAGTAGGTATAGGATTATACATATCATAGTAGATAATATAGGCATATTATAATAGGTATTAAACCGAAAGAGATGGTTTAGATTAAAATAATGATAAAAGTAGAAAAATTACCCAAACTTACACATTTTCTTTCGACCATCGTTAAATGGTTTAATAGCTTGTAAAACAATGAGGTATATGAGTATCCGCTAAAACGACAAGAAAATTAACAAAAAGCATTAAAAAAGACATCAAAAACCAACAATTTTAAGCCAAAAAAACTTAAAATATCAGTATTCTCAATGTTTACCAACCAAAATCGTACTTTTCATATATTTTTACCTAAACAATAAAAATAAACAAAAAAACTCACGATAAAATGCAAGTACATGTCTTCGAATGAGGTGTGAATTTACAGTAACCGAAAGTGTAGTGTGTTGACCCGTCAATCAATAGGAAAGTAAACATTTGAACAGCATTATCATCGTCGTATCCACTCACACTATAAACAAACACATTACTTTAATATTTGAAGATCGTAAAAAATTTTGCTGCAGAAATTGCTGTATTATATCCAATATTATTTATGTTTTGTGATGTTATAGTGTTTTCAGTTCCAAAAACAATATAACGCTTTATATTGTTCTAAAGCATTAAAATATCCTGTTTTTGATTTTCATAGCTAATAATTTTAACGCTTTTAAAAAAACATTATAAATTTAAAGCTGAAAGATCAAAAAACCCCGAAAAAAATGTTTTGAAAACAAAAATCTCATAAAAACAATATTATTGTAGAAGATAAACAAAATCAGATGATATTACAACATACTTGTTATCCCCTGTCCCAACCGGAAAGGAGAACTCGCAGATCGACCTTAACAATCGCTCATCGTTAAAATCAGATGGATATACTGATTTTATCACGGGTTCCGGACCTGATCCATCCACCTCACAAAAAACATCGAATAAAGTTGGCGGATCCTTCCTGAAATGAGTAATATCAACTATTAGCCTTGATATAATGCTATGAAACCTCAAAGATAGCTGCATAATACAAAAATTATGATAATCTTCTTTAAAAAAGCATTTCCAATCAAAACTTGTCCACTTATTACCTAAAATTCAAACAAAAATAACAAATTTTAACCTTACCTCAAGTGATCATAATTCAAGTCCATATTCCGTTTCGTAGTCACGATGAAACGTCAAAATACGTTGAAATAATCAATATACTGTTAAATAGGTATCCTTCACCCAAACTTCATTTATTGTGAACAGAATCCCTGAAAATATTACTCATTCATAGCAAGATAAAACAAACAAACATATTCTTCACGAAAACACTATAAAATCGTCTACTGCCGCTATGAATAATAATTTAAAGATGGTGAAGACTGTAGAGCATCTTTTAAAACATAATTCAAAACATAAAATATTGTTTTACGTTGAAAAAAATTATATATTAACCAACCGTTGCCTTATCAAATATAACATAAAAACCAAAAAATGTATCTAAAATACATCGCTTATCAACCAATACCGATAAAAACATGTGAATATTGATGTGACAAACAATATCAAACCAAAAAGAAACCAATTGTGCCTGAAAAAGAGAAACGAACAACAAAAAACGAACTTGACGTCTGTCACAATTCGCCCCCAAAAAATGAATTTCCTTCCAAATTAACACAAAAACAGCTGATATCGAATAAAAATAGACTAAACGAATGTTTATGCGAAGCGTGAGCCTCTGAAGACGGCTTCGTCTCGAGTTTTACGAAAAAGTGTCCGAGAATTGGAACATTGGAAAAACTTGACCCAAATTGCAAAGATAAAGGAACAGACTTGGCATCGTATGCAGATTTTTGTTTTTTCTACATTATTATCAAGTTTTTGGAGAATTCCAAGTAAAATTGGCTTCTTTATAGTAAGTTATAGTATCTAAAATGCTTTTTTATTATTTTGGTGTGGAATTTAGCCAGGAACCGTATTTCAATAAAAACGACCAGAGGATCTAGTTTTGTGGACCTACCTTTACTCTTTTGATGCTCGAAGGTTTTAGACTATAATATGGCGGAACTTTGAACTGAAACAAATTTGCTACACTTCAAACGTGCTTGTCAAAACTTTACGGAAATTGACCTAATTACCGTTAATTCACGGTGAATAATTCGAAATGACGTTAAAAAACAACTTTTTAAAACACTAGGTAAAATACGGCGCTTACTATCATCAGCCCACATGTATTATCATAAATATACATTGTCAAGGTCATGGCAATATATATTTATATATATTAAACCAGATGCAAATCCAAAAAATGACAGACGGTTGTATTATATTATAGTAGGTGATTAATCACGTTTGACGTGGAAAAACCGACTGCCAAAAAGTGGAAATGATTGTTTTAACTCACATAAGTTGACGAGCATGCCCTTTACTAAAAGTTCCGTGTTAAAAAGATTGTGGTCTTTTCATATTCGACCAGTGAAGTAAACGTTCTTCAAGAATTCTATTTTGGAAAAACTTATCCCAATCATTTTTTCAAAGAAAAGACTAAAATTAATATAAAAAAATGTACTTCTCCTTCAAACTTGTACTAAAAGTATAATCGATTGGGGTTTTTAATAAAAGTTCCGGCCAGTTTTTAGCTAAAAATAAATAAAAACGAATTGAAAGGAAGGTCCAATAAATTCGTAAGCTTTTTGTTATGGTTTCTTCAGATGGGGAAGATAAAAAAACGTATAATTCAATGCTAAAGGAACTATAATAACATTAGAGGGGCTATAAAATCGTGTTTAACGGTAACATTCAGAAGGCGTTTTATGGCGTTGCATAGGTAATATTATACTGTTTTTGGGGTTTAAAAAGCTTTTGCTTTAATGCTAGAGTAGGTAAGGCAGGGTAGGTAGGGTAAAGGGCAGGTTAGAATAAGGTAAAGCAGGGTAGGTTAGGATATGGTAGGGTAAACTAAATTAGGGTGGGGTACGGCAAGGTAGTGTAAGGCAAAATAACGTAACGTACAGTAATCATTGGCTAAAACGTTACTTTCCAAGTCTTACTGTAAGCTCAAAATCTACAGTACGAATAAATATTTGCCTTGGTTTTATGACTATAAACATTAGCTATTTAGTTCTGGAATCCTATGATTTATTGTGGAAAAACCAAAAAAACATTAAATTTGTTTAAAAAAATGCGCCACAATGAATCACGGGGGATTATTCAAAAGGACGTTCAATTAGACCTACATGATGGTACGAGATTACTAATCATATTACAAAAGGTCATTGTACTGAAGTGGGGCTTCTGTTATTGTAAGGTAGGGTAGTGTAGAGCATGGTATGGTAAGATCGAATAGTGTAGGTAGGATAGGATAGGGTAAGATAGGGTAGGGTGGGATACATAGTGTAAAGTAGTGTAAGGTAAACGAAAGTAGGGTATGGTATGGCAAGGTAGGGTAGAGTAAGGTAGAGTAGTGTAGGATACGTAGGGTAAAGTTGTGTAAGGTAGGAGGGGGTACATCAGAGAATGGTATGACAAGTTAGGGTAAGGTAAAATGATACAAAGGGTAGGCTGTCAAAATATAATATAGTTAAAATTGCTTTAAAGTTTTAAAAAAAGAACCTTCATTTCCTATCCCTTTCTTCAAAATTAAAAAAAAAACTTATAAACCCTTAAAATAATTATATATAAATAAGCTAGGTATAAAAACCCACCTAGCCACCTCAAAAACCCCGAATTAAAAAACGCTGTGAAATCGAATAGTATTGTCCAGCATAGTAACCTCGAACACTCCATTTTGATTTCGCCCTCTCTACTTTAAGACTGTTTTTCATCGAACTATGCAAATAAAGCGGGAATTTCAAAAAAAGAGGGTGAAGACAACCTTGAACGATGAGAGCTCGCAGACGGGCCTATTAAAATCGGGAGCTCTCTATTTTTGGACCGCAGCTGTTGACATGGACCAATTCGCATAATTAATTTGTTTTTCCCCTTTTGGCCTATAATATATTGTTTCTTTTGGTCTGGAGCGTGATGTTAGGATGAGGAGGTAGGGGGTGGATATATGGGTATGTTTTGATGGGTTGAGAATAGTTAACGAGGTAATTTAATATTTTTAAACACGAAATATATTAAATTAAGAGCTTGAAAATAAAACGATTTGAATTTTAAATGAGAAATTAAGTCTAGTATGGTATGAAATGACATAGTCACTGATAAACGGAAGTAACACAAAACTTTAAACAGATTTGAATCCAAAATGACCAGTTTGATGACTAATGCATTCAGTTGTTTTTTACAGCAAAGAATCTATATTGTTTTTGGTATAACAAAGAAAAAAAGAATTTTAAAAAGGTCTAATAAAGAATGGCATTTTTGCTTAAAAAATTTGACCCGGCCAAACAACTAAACCCTCCAAAAGTCATTTTTAAAACTTCTTTCCAAAGTTTAAAAGCTTTGAACTAATCAAATTAAAAGCGAACACTATAAATGCTGTCATCATGACCACCCCCAATTAACAAAACGTTCATTTCGAAGTAGTTAACATAAGGTCTCGTCTGCAGACTGAACAAAGTCACAAGTTTTGGCGATAATTCACGTGGATTGTCTGCTATATTTCACCACTTGGAGTGAGCTTCGTGAACTTTGATACGACTTGACTTTATATACAAATGGAAAACAGGATGGGCAGCGTTTTGGTCAAGCTTTTTTGATTGGAAAATGAATTTTTTGTAAAGAAATGCTTGTTACAGTAGAAGAGTGTCTAGGTCGGAAGGTGCTGCTGAGACAGGGCTGGAGATAGGGCTAAGGATAAGACCAACTCTGTGGTTGAACCTACGGCTAATGGTAATGCTAGGGCTAGAACTAAGGGCAAGGCAAAAGATTAAAGCTAGGGCTAAGTGCAAAGCAAAGTCTAAGGATATGACTTATTGTAAGGCTAGGGATATAGCTAAAGCTTGGACTAAAGGTAAGGTTAAAGCTAGGGCCAGGAGTAGAGCTAGGAGTAAGCAACAAGTCTAGAAAGTACCCCATAACTCATAAAAATCAAAACCTATGTCACGATGTTTAGTAAAAGTTATAAAATAATAAAAAGCATGTTATATTATAAAATTCATAACAACCCGATTATAAATTCCAAATTTCTCTCACTTAGTTTATATTTTACTGTACACTAACCTCACGTTTATTTCAATATGTATACAAATACAAATGACTCAATGTTTGAAATAATAAAATCCAAAAAAGAAGTTCTTTATCGCTCCAAAAGACTTGTTTTTACTTCGATGAACTTTGAAAAAGTAAAAAATGAGCGAAACTTACGATTCGAAACAATAACTTCAAATTGATGTGTCTACCATAGTTAAATATATTTGAGGTTTAAAGAGATTAAAATTGAAAATTCGGGTTTATAATAGACAAAAAAAATTTTAATTTTAAGTTTTTTTAAATTTAAAATTTATCCAAAAAAATAAATTTTAAAGCCTCCAGCATTAAAAAATAGCCTAAAAACTTCAAATTAAAAAAAATTCTCCATTGCAAAAGCCCATCATTTTTTGACCAAGTGTCGCCCATTTGACAGCTTTGTCATACGAACTTTGTCATACGACCGAGTTTTTAAAACAAACTATGGAAAGGTATATAAAGCTAACTGTCTCTGGATGGTACATAATCTCTCCTCTCTTTGATGACCCTAAATATATTGAAAAAGGGCTAATCGTGTGACCTGTCCTTGCTTCACACTCTCTCAAAGTTCATCTACATTAATATTGGGTTGTAATTAATTTGTTGTGATAGTATAATGAAGTGGGATACTACACATTGTAATATAAATATATATTAAATGATTTTGAGATTAAACAAAATGAAAAGTACAGGCTTAAAAAGAACCAATCCGAGCAGCTCTTAGTCTTTGTACTATCTAGCTTCCCATAAAGCTATAGCAATGTAATATTGAAAAGAAATTTAAAAATAATATGTGTATGAGACAATGAAATGAAATGGAATGGGAATTATAGTTTCAAAAAACGTTCAAGTTTGTTTGTTCATAAAGAATAAGTTATGCGTGTCTGGTTTGTATTTATACAAGTGTTAAAAAGTGAAAGTGAAGAGTTTTTAAATTTTCAAACTTTGAAAAAAATTGAATTTTAAAAATATTTGCTTGTTTTTGAAAAATAGTTTTAAAAAATTTTAAAAAATTTGAAATAAAAAAAACGAATATTTTTCCAAAACAGCCAACCCAAAAACAAAAATACTTTATTTCCTATAAATACGATACACAATCTACATTATAATTGTCACAAGCTTATGACAATATAAACTCTACTATAAAAACCAGCTGAAACCCTTCTTCAATCACAATATCCAGCTGGAACGATGAGAACATCACTAAACAGTTTAAGAAGACTCTTTCTCCAAACGGATCAACTCCTTCACTCCATCGTACATTTGTTTGACAGCTTGGTATTCAGAAAGGCCCAATCTGGCGCGGTTGGAGATGTCGTAGACACCGCCCTCACTCTCCGAGTGTTCGCCGTGAATACCTCTGACTTGAAGGTTGAGTTTGTCACAAATTTGTTTAAAGTCTGGGCGAGACGAGACCTTAGGCAATTTGATGTGCACTGAAGCACGAACGGTCGATCCCAAGTTGGTTGGACAGAAAGTGAGCCAGCCAAGACGTTCATCACGAGCAAATGGCACCTTCGTCTCGACTGAGCGAATACCACGTACCAGACGGTCAAGAACTCGACCGACATCAGAGCCTTGTTCCATAGAGATGATTCTCATGTGATCCTCTTCGTTCACCCAGATCAAGAAGGACTTTTGGTTGTTGTGGAAGATGCCACGGCCTTTTGGCCAGAAGTTGCAGGCATTGGCATATTGAAGATGACGGTCGCCTTCTTTGAAGAGGAAATGGTCTTGGATCAGTTGGTTTTGGGTCGCCTTCTTCATGCCGTCCAGTGGGTAGTAGGTGCCCTTGAGGTCAGAGTCTTGTACTTGTTCTAGGGCTCCTTTTACTTTGTTTTGCATCTCAATATAGTCGGATTCTTTGAGGAGTGGGTTGAAGGGGTAGCCGTTGAGGGTGCGGCCGCATCGGATTCTAAAAAAATTTAAATTTAGTATAAAAATTTATTTTTTTAGATTTTTAAATAAAAAAAAATTTTTAAAATCACAAAATATAAAAAAACCTTTCGGCTTTAAATTTTTTGTTACCTTAAATTTAAAAAAGCTCAAAAATGAAAATAAACCTCAGTCTTACCTAGTAGAAACAATAAATTTGCCCTCAGGGTCCAATGGTGGAAAGTCCTTGGCCTTTCCATCGCCCAAATCGACTGGTGGTTGTTTGTCCTTTGGTCCGAAACCATGGTACTCCTGAATGATGGGGTCGAACAAAGCAGCAAACACCTTGTAGGAATCGTAATCTGGAGCATACACTCCAACTCCAGCGTCCAGATTGTAGACTCCAGATCGGATCACATCGTATAATGTGGCACCCATTGGAGTTTTGACATTTTTCAGCTCATCCACAACTTTCTTGGTCAAATGTTTCTTGAGAAGAGATTTACAGTCCGAAGCCGATTGAAGCTTCTGATAGGCTTCTTCGATCTTCTTCTGAATCTCTGGTTCGACACCAGTGATTCCGAGTTGCTTGGTCTTTTGGGAGCAGTCTTTCTGAAATTTTTATTATTTGTTTTGTGTTTATCAGAGTTAAAAAGGTACTATCATCAGCTATCAAAACTAAAAATTTGTATAGCTCATCTATATTTAGACAAAAAAAAATCAAATTTTTAATTTTTTAAAATTTTTTATAGCTTAAAATACTTTTCAGGCTTCTTAACAAAAACCAATGCTAAAAAGTTGTACTTACAGTACCACGGTAATAGTATCCACCAGCAGCTCCAACTGAACCAGCAATCAGAGCGGTGAAGAGGTTTTGGTTGCGGGCGAGCATTCCCTATATTTATGATATATCAAAGCCAAGTAATATTCCACGTATTTTACTTTAATATTTAACTACGTTTTCAAACACGCTTAACATGTTTAGTAGTACTAATTAGTACGTCATCAAAAAGAGTGTTTTAAACGCCAAAAAGTTTGGTTTTATATGACAGATCATGCAGAAAGTACTATACCACTATTTACACTGCCAAGGCTCAAAAGCAGTAATAAAAGACATCGAACTTAACTTTCTAAAACCTTTATACTGCTATAAATTACATTTTCCTACCCATAGATAAAAAGCCGTAACCATAGTAACAATCCGGATTATTTTGCAAAAAGATGTTTCTACCTAACATAACACAGCGACCTCTGTATAACATATTATAGTGGCGACCTTTGTATTTTGTAAACAAAATTTTTGTTTAAACGTGACAAAAACAATGAAATGAAGATAACGTTCCATTTCAAGCACAGTGATAAGAAAGAGAAAGCAATTTACAATACAAACAAGTCAAGTTACAATTGGTTTGATTAAACGGTTTAATGATGACTATACTTGATTATAGTGACATTTTAAGATTCATATTTACAAGTAAAATGTTAAAGGAAGTACTAGTATTTCTTAGTGGCAACATAATAACTAGCTTTTATAGTTCAAAAACCACAGTTTTATCAGCTTCTTACGACCAAAAATAGCAAAAACAACAATTTTTCAGCTTTTTCATCAAAAAAATTAAGATTTTACAAAAACTAAACAAAATTTAAAAATAAACTTTCAATATTATTAATCTGTAGCATAAGATAAATAAAAATAAAATATAAACCCATACGTATCATAGTCCCTTTTACCAAAAATAAGAAGAGTTTCAGCCCATTTCGCCCTCCGGGGAATGCTCCAAACCCGCTTTCAAAGCACTGAAAATTGTCTTTTTTGTTTTGGAAGGAAAGCAATAAGAAGAAAATGGTTAGAAAACAACATTAATTTAAGATATTAATCAAGTAGTTTTTGTAAAATACGATTTTTAATAGAAATCCTTTTAAAAATTTCAAAAAAATGCTCGATTTTCAAACAAAATCAAAATTTTCAAAACTTCTAAATCTCAATTGAAAAAAAATAAAATTTTTTAAAATTTTATTTACATTTTGAAAATTTACTAATTTAAAAAAGGTTTCAACAAACATCTCAAACCTTCAATCAAGTTTGTTCACAAAACATATGACCCGTCTCTCAATACTAACATAAGGTCAAAAGTCATCAATTTTTAATAAACCCTTTGAAGTGTTTTTTTTTTGAAAAAAGAGGTAAAACTGAAGTTTAAATATACAACGCTTATGAAAAATAACAAATTTTTCAAAAAAAAATTTAAAGTTATAATTTCTAAAAACTTTAAAAACGAAAAAAATTTTTTAAAAAATCAAGAAGTCCGGCAAAGTCTTTTAAAAATAGGATTTGAAGTTGACCAGCATAATATATGTAAAAGTAAAAAATAATTTTTAATTAAAATCAGGCTTGAAGGCAAGGATTGCGTTGATAAGCCCTGCAAGACATTTCACAGATCACTTATTACTACAGCGTATAAAAGTAAATAAACTTGCAAATACTAACTTAATTTAAAAGTCAGAATGAGAGTTGTTAGTTTTTGCTTTTCACAGTCACAGACAAAACCTTTCTTTTTGTAAAAATGGAGACGGTTTGAAATCAGATTTTGAATCAAGTAAGAAGTAAAATAAACAAAAATCTTGAAAAGAAAGTGAACGAACTGGGTAGGGAAAGGAGACGTGCAAAAGGTGAAACGGGTAATCTTTATTATAAATAGACTATGATTAAAAAAGTGATATCATAGACAGAAAAGGTGAATATCTATATCACAAAAAAAATTTGTTTAGTTTTAAAAAATTAAAATTTTCAAAAAATTAAAAAATATTTTTCGCAAAATTTGTACTTTTCAAATTATTTTTCAAAATTAGCTCAACAACAAAATATAAAAGTCAGTTAGTATGGTCTGTCTGCTTTCATACTTTCAGACAAATTAAGAATTGTGTCTGGAAACAAACTTTAATCAAATAAGTAAACAAAATGTAAGTTTCTGATACTCAAATGTTGTTGGTTTCGATGTTTGATTTATAAAATGTAAACCTATTTTTTAAAGATTGTAAGAAAACAAACTTTACTTTTTTGTGAAATTACAGACAATTTTTAGAAAAGTAAATCAATGATTTGGAACAGTAAATTATATTTTTCCTTTACCGTGTATTATTAAAAAAGTTGACGTAAACAGTAAATCTTTAATATAGTTTTATTTACCTTTAAGTTTAGAATGAAGTAAGGTAGGGTAGGGTAAGATGGCTAACAAAGTAAGATAGAGCACGACGGAGTCGGGCAAGTCAAAAAGCAAAGCAAAGGTAGAGCAAAGGTAGAGCAAAGGAAGGGCAAAGGAAGGGCAAAGGCAGGGCAAAGGCAGGGCAAAGGAAGGGCAAAGGCAGGGCAAAGGCAGGGCAAAGGCAGGGCAAAGGCAGGGCAAAGGCAGGGGCAAAGGCAGGGCAAAGGCAGGGCAAAGGCAGGGCAAAGGCAGGGCAAAGGCAGGGCAAAGGCAGGGCAAAGGCAGGGCAAAGGCAGGGCAAAGGCAGGGCAAAGGCAGGGCAAAGGCAGGGCAAAGGCAGGGCAAAGGCAGGGCAAAGGCAGGGCAAAGGCAGGGCAAAGGCAGGGCAAAGGCAGGGCAAAAGGCAGGGCAAAGGCAGGGCAAAGGCAGGGCAAAGGCAGGGCAAAGGCAGGGCAAAAGGCAGGGCAAAGGCAGGGCAAAAGGCAGGGCAAAAGGCAGGGCAAAAGGCAGGGCAAAGGCAGGGCAAAGGCAGGGCAAAAGGCAGGGCAGGGCAGGGCAGGGCAGGGCAGGGCAGGGCAGGGCAGGGCAGGGCAAAAGGCAGGGCAAAAGGCAGGGCAGGGCAGGGCAGGGCAGGGCAGGGCAGGGCAGGGCAAAGGCAGGGCAAAGGCAGGGCAGGGCAGGGCAGGGCAGGGCAGGGCAGGGCAGGGCAGGGCAGGGCAGGGCAGGGCAAAGGCAGGGCAGGGCAGGGCAAAGGCAGGGCAAAGGCAGGGCAAAGGCAGGGCAAAGGCAGGGCAAAAGGCAGGGCAAAGGCAGGGCAAAGGCAGGGCAAAGGCAGGGCAAAGGCAGGGCAGGGCAGGGCAGGGCAGGGCAGGGCAGGGCAGGGCAAAGGCAGGGCAAAGGCAGGGCAGGGCAGGGCAGGGCAGGGCAGGGCAGGGCAGGGCAAAGGCAGGGCAAAGGCAGGGCAAAGGCAGGGCAAAGGCAGGGCAAAGGCAAGGCAGGGCAGGGCAGGGCAGGGCAGGGCAGGGCAAGGCAGGGCAAGGCAGGGCAAGGCAGGGCAGGGCAGGGCAGGGCAGGGCAGGGCAGGGCAGGGCAAGGCAGGGCAAGGCAGGGCAGGACAGGGCAGGGCAGGGCAGGGCAGGGCAGGGCAGGGCAGGGCAGGGCATTTATTAACACGTACTAATGTTTGACAAGTTATAACATTTTTACGTTTCTCTGTACTTTTATGTATTGTTATCTTTTATATTTGATTTGACAGCTAATCATTGGCACTTTAAAAACTTTTGGGCTTTGGATTTTATTGGTTTTGAGCAATTGGTCATTTCGAAAGTTATCAGACAAATGCTTGATCCAATTAATCACAATTTGTTTTTTAACAAATTGTCGTGGGGGAGGCTTGAAACAAGGAGGTAAGGGTAAACAATAGTCGTTTTTTAAAAAAAAATTTTTAACTTTTGAATGTAACTTTATGGTCTTAAAATGTTTTTCGTAAATGTATGTTGATACTAATATAGATTCACGTGTTGTCTAAAAAGTAGACGTGGTTCTTGAAATAGATATTGAAAGTCAAGTAGCACGGTACGTCAAAAACAGATGTCTGAGTCATCTTTCATGTTCATATTTCTTGGAAATTCATATAATTTTAAAACACATTTTGATTATGATATTATACTAGTCATGGTTTGGTAGGGTAGGGTAGGGTATTACTTTTTATGTCTTAACTACATACATAAATAACCACCCCCACTCTTTACATTACACTACTTTTCGCTAGCTGAAAGCTTTATCGGATTTCCGTTTGGTCACTTTTTCCTGTTGGTTTACGATGCCCAATACGTGTAGTCGAACCCGAAATTGCACGTAAATTGCTTTAACATTGGTAAAGCGGAAGAGTGCTCACTGGCTAATGGGGTTTCAGTCGTTTTTTGGCGATCATCTGATGCTCAAATTGGCACAAATGCTCATCGCATGATAATACTGTGGGCTGAGGGTTGTAATGGCTTAAGTTTCTTATTTTACTTTACGTTATCTTACTCTACCTCACTTCAGTCTACCCCATTTTGACTTAGTCTACCTTAATCTTAACTATCCTACCTTACTCTACCCTACACTAAGTTACCCTATCCTACTCTGCCTTACTCTAATCTACCACTGTCTACTCATTGCTGCTCTACTATAGCCTACCTTAGTCTACCATAGCCTACCTTACCCCGTTATACTCCAACTTATCCTAGCATTCCTCTTCTTTAGAAATTGTTAAAAACCCCTGCCCCTACTGTAACTCCCCCCCCAAAATCCTTAAAATTAAACTCCCCACGTCTAACAGACATGTTTCGTACACCCCAAACACCAACCTGATTACAGATGTTGTCTAGTTGCGGGGTAAAACTATAGTTATGGGCTAAATTTGTTTACGTTTCGTGGTTTTCGAACGGGTCTTTTCAGCACAAAACAGTTGACAATCCTTTTTTTCTTCAGAATATAATAAAATTTTTGGACGAGTTTGCAGCATTTCCATACGGAAAACGTATGGACAACCGTTTCGATTGACCGTGGGTTCATTGGGACTATTTTGGAGGTTGTGTATTGTAATAATGGGTTTTGGTCAATGATGACTAAAAGTTAAAGTTTTTCGATCGCTTTTAGATAGGTAGCACCAGACCAGCAAAAGGGCCTAATCAAGCCCAGTTTTTTGGCCTTGCAACTTTTAAATTTCTCTTGGCCAGCTCCAAGTATTTATAGGGCCCTTTTACCTCTAAATGTGCCAAAAAAAGTGGTAGAATAGAGGGAATGGGGGAGGAGAGTGGGTGAAGCATAAAAAAGAATTCATTTGGGTGTGGGTGAAAAAAAATAAAAAAAAATTTTATTAGGTACTTTTAAGTAAAAATCTATTTTTTAAACATAATTACAGTAGTCTCTATATAATCATCTGTATAAGTAACTCTTTTTATAGTAAACAACGTCAATTCAATTTGCACTAACAATTACTCTT